ACACTGTGCCTTATCGTTTATGCCTTCATGGACGCTTTGCCATCACTCTGCTTGCAAGTAGACCTTGTCGGGAAGTACTTTACCCTGTCCCTTCCCTTTGGTGTCAAAAGCTGCTGTGTTTGTTTTGACTATCTATCTGTCTACAAAATGGGGAAGCCACTCAGCAGGCCAGACTGTCTACGCCAGAACCCTCCGTGTGTAGGGAAGGGTGAGGAAGAAGAGGACCTGAATATCGAAGACTGCTATGTCCCACAGCGGTCCATCTATGACACGGTCAGACTAAACGAACAGATAGACTCGGGCTCCAAAGGCAGCCTGTCTTCTAGGCATTTTACAGATCGAACCTTGCCCTACGGTCACCGGGCACTGGACGTCAGTTCTCTGTGCTCCAATGGCGCCCTCTCTTCTTCCAGCATATTTGAGCTGAGAGGTCGGGAAGCCAACAAACTAGATGAAAAGATGATCTTCGACGCCCTCAAGCTAAATAGCGATGTCATCCGGAATGCAGGTTTACCCAAACCCAAGTCTCAGGCAGAGAAGAAAGAGCACCGGCGCTCATGGCGGATGTTTATCCCAGCCAATTTTGTGGATTATGCAAACAAAAGCGACAGTTCTTTTGTTGAACCTGCTGATGCATCAGAGGCTGTTACAAAGGCCAGCAGGTGCAGGTGGGCTACTAATTCTCAAACTTCAGAAGAGGATGACTCTGGCTTGTGTAGCCCCCCAGCAGAGAAAGAGGGAAAGCAGGGCACTGTGAGTGGGGACCAGCCACAGATCAAGAGCCTGTCTTCTGCTGAAGATATTCATATGCCAGAGCAACATAGGCCTTTTCTTCCTGCTAATTCCGTTAGCGAGCAGGAAGTCCCGCTGCTGTCATGTAGACGTGCCCACACCGACGACAGCTTCCAGAGGATTCCACAGGGTGGTTCTTCACTCAAGGGGAGCAAATGTGTAAATGGTCAGAGTGTGCCCCATTTGGAAAGTGGTTGTGCGGAGAGCCATCCGAGAGAGAGGACAAAGTGCAGTGCGCCAGTTGCACCGAGAGATGGAGAAAACAAGTGGGTTTCCAACTCAGAAGAACAGGAGAAAACTTTGAGACAAGGGGAGGCCCAGGTCACGGCACACAGCAGGGACTGTATGAAGGAACCCCTTCGGGGTTTAGAAACCTCGCCCACAGTCCTGCTTGGGGAGCAGCATGTCGACTTTGGTAGCACAGCTTTGCTAGAAAATGGGATGCTCTTGACACAACATGATCCAGAAGAACGCAGCTTGGCATCTGAGGGTGATCTAGAGGCCCAGCAGAAATGCTCCCTCCAACTCATACCAGTAAAAAAGAAAACAGGGCCCAGAAAAACAGGGGCCCAGGCAGCAACATTGGACACAGTCTGCAATGGCTTCCAGTTGGTCCAGGTAATTAATGGGATTGGAAAACCACAGTGGCAGCTGCTTGCGGTTCTGTTTCATAGTAGTCAAGAACAATTTTAATAATGATCAAATGCAACCATTCATCTCAGGGCTTTGATTAGCACCCTGCCAGATGCCAGCAATTGATAAGTCCATCGGTGTAACAAGTTAATTAGGGATTGTTGGGGAGCGATCATTCCCAGATGTTCAGGGTCCTGTGGTGGTCCAGACAGTGGCTGTTGCAGTTCATTCAGCATTCCCCACTGTTAATTTAGGTTAATGTTAGGTTTGGACAAATTGTGGTTTAAAACAGTGCCATTTAAGGGCAGTCGTATTGAGTTTATTAAGAACCAACAAACACAGTATTATATCGCTGTGGTCTGTGAAGCACTCCCCCACCTCCAGCTTACAGGAGCCCTCCCCACTCAGAGGAGGAGAGAAGCTGCTGTGTTTTTGCAGGCGTTGTAGACCCTAACTCCGGAGTTTCAGGTGAGGTAAGAAAGTGCAGGGTGTAGCCTTGTGATGAGTGGAGGTTGTCTGTCAAGCCTGTAATTTCCTTTTCCTTCCCACTCAGATTCAAGTTCAGCTATTTTGGTGCTTTCCCCTCAGCTCTCCTCATAAACTTTGCCGCAGAGTTAACTTCATTTTATTTTAAAGTCCTCTGCGTTTGTGTGCTGTGAGTGTGTGTGTGTGTGTGTGTGTGTGTGTGTGTGTGTGTGTGTTGGGGGATCTTTATAGGTATTTGTTACCACTCAGAGATGAGAAATGTAAGCGGTAACGGAGTACTGCTTGTTCTGTGTCCCACTGTCCACACCTTTCCCTGAGCCTGCAGCGAATGCTCTGCTCATTTAACTTAGCAAAACATGTTCCCCCTACAGAAGATTTTATACCTGATGTGTAGAACTGCTTTTGCTTTGTAGAGACGTAAGAATGCAGTTGGCCCTGTGCATACACTTTTTTTTTAATTGTTGAACATAGCCGGAGCCCTTACTTAGCTCCCAAAAGTGGTAACTTAGGACATTCCATAGAAAAGAAACAGACTTACAGTGCCAAAGCATTTCGTCACCGCCCTGTTGCAGTTTTCTGTTGACATACTTAGTAAATTACACCTTTTTGAAAACTTGGGAGAGTGTCTGAACTTTTCTCCCCAGCAATTGGGGTTCCTCTGCTGTCTTCACTTTGTGCAGCTTTTCTTAGAGCCGCTGTTTTGGCATCGGAATCCTTCCCCACCATGGAAAGGTCAGTATACATTTTCAGCAGGAAAAGCAGCTTGAGCTTTTTGTTACCAGGGGACAGGGGCATTCAGAGGAAACAGTGGCTCATTTGTTTGCTACTTCCAATGTATCCGTTCTTACAGTTAACATGCTCAGCACTGGACCGGGGTCTGGGGAACTGTCTCCTTGGCCCCTGTATCCGTCACAGTTGCTGTTCACACTCTACCTATAATTTTCTCCTGAAGTGTTTTTCTAATTAAATATATCTGCCTTTATTATGTTTCCATATGTTCTGTTTATACAGCCATTAATTATTTTACAGTATCCTCCAGTATAATGACTCAGAGTTCCAAAGGTTATTTTGCCTTAATATCTTGATATCTGTATAAAATTTCCATTACTGTAGAGTTAAAGATAATTGATTTTTTTTTTTCTCTCATGATGTTCTCCAAGCCCCGCGTTGTAAATGTTTATATTGTCTGTGGAAAAAGTTGATGTGTTGCCTTAAATGTTATCTGTAAATGGGGTTGATAGCATCTACCCAAGATAGATGTATCTTTTCTGTGTTGATACCAATTCAGCAAATAACAATTAAGTACATATTACTTAATTGTACTCTCTAGGTACCATAGTAGGCCCAGGATATAGAACTGTCACTGTTATCTGCGAAACAGTAACTTCTGTTTCTGTGGAATTTGGACTTTAACCTAATGTAATGCATTCTATATATGTCACAAGCAACTCGGGGCCCATCTGTTGGAGAGGATGGACAGAAAAGGAGAGAGCACTAGAAAACTTGTGACAGCAGATTCAAGAAGAGTAGTGAACAGAGAGAAACTGGAGCTGTTGTGTTGCTGATAGGTGTGTCTGGATCCAGGGGAGAGGGGCCGTGTGTGCAGGGGTCCACCATTTCGGTCATTCACCCCTGACAGTCTGTTCTGTGCCTTTGGTGTAGGATTCTTCTCGTTGGTCTGTACCTATGATTAGAAGAATTAAAAGAATTGGTCTTTTCATGGTGTCCTAAAGCTTTCTCGTGTTCTGTTCATGTTTTGTTTGTAATCATTGACTTTTATTGAGTGATTAATTCCTCCACCTTGTCTTTAGGATCTCTTACTCTGTCTTTCATGTGTCCCATTCTGTTGGCAAGGTTTTTCACTAAGGTTTTTTTTTTTTATTTGATTTAATTGATTTTCTGGGTTTTTTTTTTTCTTTCTTTCTAGCGTTATTTCATCATTTCAATTTGAATTTTCTCAGGCTATTTATCTTCATTGGATTCTATTTTCGTGTTTTGGAAATAAATTCACTTTTTTTTCATTCAGCTCTTTGTTTTTGTTCTTTGGGGATACGTTCAGATCCTCTTTGAGTTGTGTGAACATAGTTTAATCATTCTTCCAAATTCTTTGACTGCAAGTTCTTCCAACTTGTCTCTGTTGGGAGCCGTTACTTACGGATTGGTAATCTTGGGAAAAGAGACGTTACTTGGTTGTTTGAATTCTTTTTGCTTCTGTGCTACAACTTGTGCGCCTGAAGTTAGTTGGTGAGTTGAGTTTTTCTTTCTTCTTTTATGTTATAATTCCAAGTCCCACTTCTTTCAGTGAAGGTATTTTCAAGGTTCAGGAGAGGACTGTGTCATAGTGGGCTTGAAGTGAAACTGATGTTCAAGGCCAGAGGCTCTGGCCCTGCTGTACTCTTACTCTCAGGGTCAGGTACTGCTCTGGGTCAGGGGGAGCTGGAGCCCATCCTCTCTGGGTTGACAGCTTCTGCCGCCGGCAGTTATATTACCTTGTGTCATCTTATGTGTTCTCCCGGGTCTGTGCCTTCCAGTGCGGTGGTTACAGGATTCCCCGTGTGCCCTCTGTCCGCACGCCTCTGCCTTTTCCATTTACTGCTCTTGTATTTTGGCACCTTGGGTAAGCATGTGCTTGGCCTCTTGACCTACTTTGCTGTCTTGCCAGTGAGTCTCCACTTGAAATCTGGGTCTCAAGCTTCAGTCGCCAGCCCTGTATACTGCGACAGCCTTGATGAGCCCCTGTGGGAATTTCTTGACTCAAAAGGGGCATCTTATCATTTGCTCCTTAGTGTTTCTTTGCATATATATTTTTTTTTCATAGAGTTAAACTGTGATGATGAGATATTTCATTATACTTACCTTGGTTTTGTAGGTGATCTTATTAAATGCGTGTAGACTATATTATTAAATGATGCAAGTTTATATTTCACACTCACAAGATAATAGTAAACTGTGTCTTGGTAACAGCAGTGTCCTTCACTTCAGTGACGGTTGCTGGTTTCTACCATGTAATGAATAAAGCACATAGTCTTTATACATTTGGTGGTTGCTGGAGAATATAATTTTTACACTATGGTTCTCCCGACCTGCAGGTATTCCAGAAAGAAGAAATTGAACCCTTGCAAGTGAAGCAGCAAGATGTGAACTGGTTGGGTCAAGGCCTTATTCAGAGCGCAGCTGCGAACACGTGCACTCAGGGTCTGGAGCATGCCCTGGATGATGTCAACGCACGGTGGAAGACTCTCAATAAGAAGGTAATTGCTTGGTCCCTTCGACCCTCCCTGACTGTTCACCATCGTCTCTGATGACTGGTCGTCATAGTCACAGCAGTAGCCACGCTTGCCCACACATGCTTGCTCTTTTCATGTTGCCGTATACTACATGGCCCAGAGCAGTAGGCAGGGAACACGAATGAAGTTCAGGGGTTGAGACAGGACTTTCCCTGCTGTTTGATGGGGATTTGGCTGCAGACCCAGCAGGTATGGCTGTAGGCAGCCATTGTGGGTAGCCCTGTGTTGAAAGTGTCTCCTCAAGCTGCAGTAGCTTCTTGGCTCCCGTGACTTGTATAGAGATGCAGGCTCCCTGTTATGTTCATATTTCTTGGGGAAATGCAGGTGAACATCCACTGACCCAGATGGACACTAACAACAGACTAATGTGGGATATCACTGAAGTCCACCTTGATGAAACCAATGACTTTGTTGTTGTTGTTGTTGTTGTTGTTTTTTAATGAGGGTTTACTTAAAGTGCATAAGTGATCCTCTCCACAGCTAAATCACCATAAAGACCCAACCCAACATGGTTATCGATAGCCTTTCACTTCCATAGTTTAGCATCAGCCAGGATCACTTGTAGCTGGCATATGGAGTAGCAGTAGCAGGAAGGAACCCTGGAGCAGGCCCTCCAGACCTCCCCAGGGAGTGTCAGTGCCTCCACTGCCATTGCCATAGACCTGGCTGCAGTGTGTCATCCTGCTCTGCTTGCCATGACTGCAGTGGCGAAGTCCACGAGTGCCATCTTGTTATGAACAGAGGGAAAGCACCATAGGGCGTGCGCACACGCACACACACACACACACACACACACACACACACACACACACACACGGAAGGAGGGGAAGGGAAAGTGTGTGTCTAAGGTAGGGAATAGTCATGAGAAGTGGTGTCTGGTGGGCAGATTTCCTTCTCTTTTTAATGAAACAAAAATAAGTAAGTTGAAACAACTGGACGTTTCCAGGTGGCTCAGCGAGCAGCCCAGCTTCAGGAGGCCCTGCTACACTGTGGAAGGTTCCAGGATGCTCTGGAGTCCCTGCTCAGCTGGATGGCAGACACTGAGGAGCTGGTGGCCAATCAGAAGCCTCCGTCAGCTGAGTTCAAAGTAGTGAAGGCCCAAATACAGGAGCAAAAGGTAAATCAGTGATGCTTCTCTTTGGTTTCATATAATGTCTTTTAAAAATGACAATAAAATGTGAGCCTCCTTGCTTATACTGATAGGATGTCATAGTAACGTTTTCTTGCTGCTTTTAATATTGTCAGTTACTCAACCAGCACTTACTGATTGTCTGCCCTGGCCAAGGTGTTGTTCTCGCTGAAGGAGATACAGCCATGAATGAAAACAGCAAGGGTCCCCATTGAGCGTTGAGTCCAAGGGAAAGAAAAGCTATACAAAAACCAATAAACAGAGTCAGGGTGTAGCCTGGAGTGATTTCAAAGCAGGGATAAGGTGGGAATCTGGACGTGACAGGGCCAGGGGTCAGGGCAGGAAACCCTGGAGTAAAGGGATACTGTGAGCAGCTTTAACTAGAACAGCCAAGAAATGTTTCACTGGCCGGTGGCATTTGAACAGAAACGCATGAGATTTATCCATACGAACTGTCCTTGTGTAGATTAAATACTGGCAAGCCCTCGGGGTTCAATGAGAGCTGATGAGGCCAGCCCTCTGTTCACACGTGCTTGGGGATGTGTGCTGCGTGTTCTGGTGCTGGTGGCCAGAGGACTGCTTGAGACAGCATGTACAGTTCTGGGGTTCTTCCTGGCGTAGTGGCCAGACATGGAGCACTGAATGACATTTCCACCGGTTTAGGGGCACTGATCTGAAAGGACGCGTGGCAGATCAGTAGGCGCTCCCTTTTGACTTTAAATGAGGAGTAGACTGGTTCTTTGAGATTGCATGAATGCACAAAGCTTTTAGTAAAGGATGTATGTATGTGCGCGTGAATGCAGAGGCCAGAGCAGGACGTCATTTCTTCCTCGTTTCCTCCTCACCTTTTCTCCTCTAGACAGGGTCTCTCACTGAACCAGGGGCTCGTCGCTTCAGCCTGACTCTCTGGCAGCGTTTCTTCAAACCTGTCTGTCTCCACCCACACATTGGGGATGTCAGAATTGCAGGCACATGCAGTCCTGCCTGGCTTTGTGTGTTGGTACTGGGGATTTGAACTCAGGTCCTTATGCTTGTAGAACAAGCATGTGTGCCTGCTGAACCATTTCCCCAACCCTTTTAATCAAGTTTTGATTTGTCTTCCTAGCCCTGGCTTAATTCAGTTAGCAGACATAATAATAATAATGATAACGGTGATGATGTAGGACACATTTCTGTGTGTGTGTGTGTGTGTGTGTGTGTGTGTGTGTGTGTGTGTGTGTTTTCTTGGAGTTGAGCCTAGGACTTTAGCCCTGCTTGGAAAGTTCCTTACCACTGAGCTGTATAGTCTCAGCCCTGTATATTATATATTTAAAAATTGCTAAAAGATTTTAAGTAGTCTCAGCACACACACAAATTGTAAGCCTGTTAATTAGTTGGGTCAAATTGTACTATGATGTACATGGGAATTAAAACATCACAAATTTACCCCATAAATAAATTCACTATTTGTTAGTTAAAACTTTAAAAAAAAAAAAAAATCCAGATTGGCCTCGGAATTTTAACAACTTACTGCTTCCTTTAACCCTAACATTACTTGTTAGCTCTCTAAAAATTCCCTGAGAACTTCAGTCAGTTGGGAAGTCACTGAGGAATGAAGCCAGGCCTTTGTCTCAGGCCTGTAGTCCCCGCCACTTAGCAGGAGGAGGGTCACAAGTCTGAGGCCTGCAGGAGTACAGCCTAGTGAGCAGCCCATCGAGCCCCTGCCTGGAAACGAAAAGGGAACAAGCAGCCTAGGGACATGATGTAATCACAGTGCGGGGTGGCCTGGGACGAGTGAGGCTCTAGTCCAGGCTCCGCTGCCAGACAACAGAAAAGGAGGACTGAGGAAACATACCGGAAACCCATCGCATCTCCGCGGCAGTTAATTACACAGCCACTACCATTAACTAATTTAACTTATTCTTTCAGGGATACTGAATAATGCTTAGCCAATGAATTCTACTTGTTGACTTTGTCTTTTTAATTGCCAAAGGTTTTGCTCTGCCAGTTCACGAAAAGAACCCCACTTGGACTGGCAAGATGTCTCAGAGGGTAAAGGGCTTGCCAGCAAGGCTGACAGCCTGAGGTCAGTCCTCAGAATACACCTCGAGGCAGTAGAGAACCAACCAACTGATTTCTCTTGCACACAGTTGTCACACACACACACACACACACACACACACACACACACACGTGCCATACACACGATAAATGTACTTTTTAAAGTATCTGATTACTTTGCGCTGTTTGGACGACACCCTGAGCTGTGTCAAGATCACTTTTCCCTCCAGAAGTACGCATTCCCCTTCCTGCCCTCCTCGGTGGTCTCTTCTTATAGTATTGGTGTAGCCTGTTACTTCCGGGCAGCTGTTTTCACTCCTTAGCTGTCTCTCAGGGTCAGAATAAGGGAGCAGAGGCCGGTCCAGCCAGCTCCTGGCTGGAACGCAGTGCCTGTGTGCACAGCTGCTCGGGAGGGATTTGGTCTGGTTAGTTAGGGCAAGGTGACCCTGAGTCTGGCACTCAGTTAGATTTAAACTGACTTTCCTTTCCACTGCTAAGTCTGTAGACTTCTTGGTAGCCCTTGAGATCCCAACACACCCCACATCCCCCTCCTTTTGGGTGTCAGAGAGCTCTGCTGAAGTTCTTGTCCTCGTGGGGTTTGAAATGCTGCTTCTACCCCTGTGGAAGGCCAGGAGCTTCCCTATGTCCTTCTGAGCTGCAGACTGGACCTGATTTTAACCTGCTTGCCTGTAATGCGTTGTCTCGTGTGAGAAGGGGTTTTGAAAACACTGGTGATTTATGAAAGTCTTTTGTTTTGGCAGAGTTGATAACTGCTGGGTGCTTAGGGCATTTCTGTCTTATGAAAGTAAGGAGGATGTTGTCCTTTCCCAGGACATGGTTTGGTCCGCTTCTCCTAAGTGTGCCTTCTACTCTTTGATTTTGTATCGAATCAGTCATGAAGATTACAGTGGTCTTATCTGTAGTTGTCTGTTGACAAAGCCACACCCTGTTGCCTGACACTGCAGTAATTGATCACTCAAGCAAATGCCTCTCCCCTTTCTTTTCCTGAAGTTTTCTTTTATGACATTTATTTATTTGTATGGCCTGCGTGTGCCAAAGCGTGCAGGTAGAGGTCAGAGGACAAGTTGCAGTGGTTAGTTCTACTCACCACCACGTGAGTGCCAGGAGTCAAACTCAGGTCCTCGGGCTCAGCCAGTAGCAGGCCACCTTGTCCTGCTGTACCATCTCCCTGGCCCCAGATGGATTATTTCTGAAAACCTGCTTCTCATATTTTTCTCATATCTGTCCATGCAAAATGTATGTCTCTTAGCAAAAGCGCCTAAGTTACGTTCTGCTTTCTGTTCACCCTCTGCCTTTTAAAATACTGCATGTTCTGCCTGAAGCTCCTGCAAAGACTGCTGGAAGACCGGAAGTCTACCGTGGAGATGATCAAACGGGAAGGAGAGAAGATAGCGGCTTTGGCAGAGCCTGCAGACCGGGCGAAGCTCTCCAGACAGCTGAGCCTCCTGGACAGCAGATGGGAGGCACTGCTTAGCAGAGCTGAAGCAAGGTACCGCGATGCTCCCGTTTCCTGGGAAACACTCAGGGCTGTGGGCCAGGGTGATACTTGCCTTTAAGTCCATATTCTCTACGTTTGTCCATTGGGGGTTGCGGGTCCTCACTCCTCATTCCCCCAATGTGGCTACCAGCTATATCCCTGCTCATTAAGAAAGCATTTGCCTTGAGGGTAACTCATTCATCTGTGTGTTACACTTCATGGTCCCCTACCATTCATCAGACGCAGAGCTACGTGTTGGATTGTAAGGATGAGCCAGACAGATCACCTCTGCCCAGACAGGTGCAGACCAGTAGAGTGAGAGCCATTGAAAAGTGATGGCCAGGGTGATGCTCTGGAGTGAAGACACAGCATGTGAGGAAGCACATAATAAGAAGTGCGGAGGCAAGGGCGTGATGACCGTGTCTTAAGGAAGGAGTGAAGCAGTGGGCGGTGTGTGCCCTCCGTGAAGAGTGTGGCTCTCGCTCATGATTCCCTTCTTTTCCAGAGTCACAGTCAGTGCAGCACCTCCTGTCAGCAATGAAACTACTTTGCTTTGTTCCGACGGGGAGCGGCTACTTGGGAGAATAGTCACCCAGAGTGATTGGATTGGCAGTCAAATAGCTGTACCGCATAATTCCTACCTCTTTGTGTGCTAATAGTTTGTGATATAATGACTTGGAGCTAGGCTTGGTGGCGCACACCTTTAATGCCAGCACTCAGAAGGCAGAGGCGTGTGGATACCTATGAGTTATAGGCCACCTGGATATACATAGCATCCAAGGCTACATAATGAGACTCTGTCTCAAAACAATAACTAAAAAGGCATGGAGATTGTATTTTGTTCCCGCTGCCAGTTTCTGTAATTCCTCTCAGCTTCATAGGAAGCTTGTTTCCCAGATCATAGTATTCCCTTCAAAACATCAACATGTTAGCAGGATAAGGCAACAGCCAGATCTCAGCAGAGGGCTCATAGCTCGGCTGATGAATCAGATGCCCTGCTGTGGACCAGCCCAGTCACGAGCCTGAGAGAAAAATGGAAGCAGGACCAGAATGGATGCTTGGATGCTCCGCTACAGCCATGTGCTTCTGAAAGTACCTCACCTTGTACTAAATTAGAGGATCTCTCCTATTTTTTTGACATTTAAGTCCACAAAGTATTAACTATTGCGTTTGACAAGTACACTTGATGCTGTATTTTTGTAATGTAGCTATTCTTCAAGCTTTAAAATCCACTTCTAACCACCTTATTAGAAATAACTTCAGTGACTGTCACTTTTATGGAAAGTCATATCTAAAGTGCTCATAGCAAGGCCAAGCATAAAGTCTGTCTTCAGTAGTGTTTCTTGTCAGTCTTCCTATTGCTGCTGCCTTTAAGAACGGTTATAGTTGAGATGCATATTCAGGCGAAATGTCTTCCACCCTTCCTGATGTTCAGGCTACCTTGTTTAATTTCATCTAGCGAGAGCTGTTTTAACACATCCTTTAAGTATCTGTGACTCAAAGTTTAGCCTTAGATGGCGTCTGTGAGGCCGCATTCAGAATAGAATGGCAGGAGCCGGACTGAAGATCTTGGCTGACTATTTTACACATTCTCTGACCCTAACTGACCTTCATCTCCGGCAAATGTATAGGAACCGTCAACTGGAAGGAATCTCTGTAGTAGCTCAGGAGTTTCATGAGACCTTGGAGCCGCTGAATGAGTGGCTTACAGCCATAGAAAAGAGGCTGGCAAACTCCGAGCCCATAGGAACCCAGGCACTGAAGCTGGAGGAGCAGATTGCACAGCACAAGGTGAGGCAGGTCACGTGCCCGTGAGGCTCCGTTTCTCATTAATTTTATGGTTTTCCCGACATACGTTTGTTTATATCGTGCATAATTGCAAAACTAAATCCACTTTTTAAAAACATCATCCTTTGGTTCTGTTTATGTTTCCATTTGCCCATTCCTTTTTGTTTTGTTTTGTTTTTTGTTTCCTTTCTTGAACTTTGTTTAGGTTTTAGAGGATGACATCATCAATCACAATAAACATTTGCACCAGGCTGTTAGCATTGGCCAGTCATTAAAGGTTCTGAGCTCCAGGGAGGATAAAGAGATGGTGCAGAGTAAACTAGACTTCTCCCAGGTGTGGTACTTTGAGATTCAAGAGAGAAGTCACAGCAGGTCTGAGCTCCTGCAGCAGGCCCTGTGCAATGCTAAGATTTTTGGGGAAGATGAAGTTGAGCTGATGAACTGGCTGAACGAAGTGCATGGCAAGCTGAGCAAGCTGTCAGTCCAGGACCACAGCACAGAGGCGCTGTGGGAGCAGCACTCTGAACTCCGGGTATCTCCATTTATTTATTTTATTTTCTCTCTCTCTTTTTTCATTTCAGTTGTCATTAATTTTATTTATTTTTCTTGTCTGTATATTATTTCATGCCCATTACAACTCATGTGTTTCGTTATACTTGTAATCGACTCTTTCTTGTGTGTACGGTGTACCTTTAATGCCACGAGATTAAATTTACCCACTTAGCTGGCCTTTTCACGGCTTATTCGGGATGATTACTGTTGTGTGTGAGGACCCACAGTGAACCTCCACAGAGACAATATTTATAAGACCCTCGGGGTTTTCTGACATGGGCGTGCAGTGAGTCATGTTGAACGAGCACAGGGCAAGGAACATGGGGAGAGAGAGGGGAATGGGCATGGGGGTGGACAGTTTAAAGTGTGAGGCATTCCTGCAGCTCTGTCACCGTAGAGCCCAGTAAACTTTCTCTGAGGTTAGCAAGTGCTGTTGCAGACCGAAATCCCCGTCTTCCATGCAAATGGTACCTATGTTTTTAGGCTCTACAAGAAGACATCCTCCTCAGGAAACAGAATGTCGATCAGGCACTGCTGAATGGCTTAGAACTGCTCAAACAAACCACAGGTGAGATGCCTCAGCTCTGGTCATCACGGCAGGGTTCTACAGTCTCACCAGGCTATGTCCAGGGTGGGGGCATAAAGACAGAGTTCAGAGGCAGCTCTAAGACTTCATCCTGTGGAATGCCTTGAAGGGCAGTCAAGAGGTCTTTGAGTGTGATCTCACCGGAGTCCTTGGCGAACGCTGTGTGTATTACTCATAGCATAAAGTGCTTGGCATCAGAGCTGGCCGGAGAGGCCTGCGCTCTAGCTACTTCAGTCTTCTACTGATGAAAGTAAACTGCATCGCAGCGATGCTTGCTACGGTAATCCACAGGATTAAATTCTCCAAGCTCGGGTCACTAAGAAAACAGATGTACAGCTTAATGCCGACATGGGAGGCTTTGAGCAACTCAGAGAAATGAAGTTATATTCACAATCCTTTTGGCTACCGGAAAGTTCTGGTCTCTTTCGGCATGGGTGTGTGCACATGGAGCAGTTGTCATTCATTTGTGATAAAGGCATGAGATAAAGTATCTAGAACTTTGGATTAAAAGTCTGAAGCTCAGGGCATATAATTCATGTCTGTCTGAAAAGGAAGCAGAGGCAGATAAAGTTCCCCGGAAGTGTGGAAGTGAGCGATAATGAATAAGCGCAGGCAGTTTAAATATCCTGCCAGACGTAACCCACCTTATAAACTGTGACATCAGTGGCCCGAGCGCTGGTAGTTTTAGCCCTCATTCTTCAAAGACAGAAAGCTTTGTAAAGTAAATGAAGCACTGCACATAAGGGAAGTTTCTGTAGCCCATGCCATTTACGTTTCTGTTGTTAGCGATAGTGCGGTGGCTAGCAGTCTGGGGAAGGAGTAAGAACATCTTTTGCATCAGATCATCTTTAGAAAACTGGCTCCTCATTCTTCCAATACACATCATCAGTAGCATCTGAAGAGACACTGTGCCCCTCACCTTTTTTTTTATTCTTCCATAAGAATTAAGACATCTTTTGCAATCTTAGGTGATGAAGTCTTAATAATTCAAGATAAGTTGGAAGCCATTAAAACAAGGTACAAAGACATCACCAAGTTGAGTGCCGACGTAGCGAAGACCCTGGACCACGCTCTGCAGCTGGCTGGGCAGGTGCAGTGCATGCGTAAGGAGCTGTGCAGCTGGCTGGACAAGGTGGAAGTGGAGCTTCTGTCCTACGAGACTCAGGTCCTGAGCGGAGAAGCCGCAAGCCAAGTGCAAGAGAGACAGAAAGTATGCCTTTGCGCATCTCACACACATTTGTTACCTGGGAAGGGTGTGTTGGTGGGCGGGGCCTGGCTGACTGGCCCAGTGGTGTGTCAGTCCACCGTAAGAGTCACGTGGCTGGGAATGTAGTCCCCTGCCCCAGATAAAACAATGAAGAAGGAAAAACGGAGAAAGGAGATGGTCCTTGTTTCTGAGACGTGTTAGCTTGGTCAGGAAAAGATTTCTGTCAGAGCTGGGTAGCATGAGGGAATTTTTCTGGCAACATCCCAAAAGTGCGTTGCCTTTCTGAGAGCTTTCATTCCAGAGACATCAGCTTCGGATCCCATAGGGGTGGGAGGGAGCTGAGGCGGCTTCAATGGGGCGGCACCAGCTCGCCCGCCCTCCGTGCAGGCCCTATTCCTGTGGAGGGGAGCAACCCCCTTGTTTTAGTTCTGTTACCTGGTCACTCACATGTTTGCTTGAGTCTCTTTTTTTCCAAACTGTAAATATTTATTTTCCATTTCAAAGATAAACTCTTGCCATGTTGACAAATGAGCTGTCCTCTAAACCTCTCTGGAAACACTTTCGGTTTTGCAAAATAGCTATAAATAAAGGAGGTTTATTTAGCTCAGATGGAACTAACCAGGCCAAGCAGAGCCTTGTCAGCCAGCAGAAAACACACGCCCCTCCCCCATCCCCAAGAACAGAGGGAGAGCCTGCCATAACGTTTACCAGTATGTTTGCATGTCTTCAAGGAACTGAAAAAAGAAGTTAAGAGCAACAAAGCCTTACTGGATTCTCTAAACGAAGTGAGCGGCGCCTTGTTGGAGCTGGTACCCTGGAGGGCGAGAGAAGGGCTGGAGAAGATGATAGCGGAGGACAATGAGCGCTACCGGCTGGTGAGCGACACCATCACCCAGAAAGTGGAAGAGATGGATGCTGCCATTCTGCGGTCTCAGCAGGTAGGACCAGCGCCTTGTTGCCGAGGCAACAGGTGTTCTCCAGCTTCCCAGGGTCCTACCTGAACAGACATGTCTGCGGCTGCATTTCCATTCCAAGTGCTGTGCTTCCAAAATGAGCCGGGGGGGGGGGGGGGCTACATCTGAGTACCACAGCACTGCTGATCTGCACACGGGTGCATCTGTGAGTTAATAGTTCGAATCAGGTCAGTATCTGCCGAATATTGGCATGCGGCTGAAGCAAAGAAAAAGAAAAAGTCTTTGTTTTTGAAAGGAAAACATCTTGGTGATGGAGAGTTTTTTCCAAAGATGACTAAAGGGGGAAAAAATTATAGTTTCTGACCTGTCTGTGGCTCACACAGTTTCTACTCTAAAGTTTTAGAGAATTCTTCTGTTAGCCACAGCCCTGTGGAAAATGGTGGGCAGTGAAGGCAGGTCCTGCAAGTAGACATTTATCGTGCATACTTGATTTCTACTGAAATCTTTGTGGCTGTTTACGTTAAGTCATCGTGTTTGGGCTGCAAACTTTGTGTGGGCTTATATGGTTTTGTAGCATGAGTGCGCAGGAGATGTGTGACTAAACTTTTCAGTCACACCAGGCAAAAGCAAGAAGCACAAGCCTACCCTGGGAGGGAGTCTCCGAGGCTGGTTTTCTAGCATTGCACAACTGTAATGGGTAGGTTCTAAAGCTTCCTGCTCCGCCCTTACTTCAGCATAATGGTCTTGGATCACAAAGGCTGATGGAAGGCCATGGTATTTTCCTGCCTAGGAAGTTTCTGTGAGGGGCATTCATGCCTGAGGAATGTGTTTGCCTGCCTGTTCTACAGTTTGCAGGAATTTGTATGCCTCATTGTTGTAGGAAAGTGGGTATATTTGTCTGTGAAGTTTATTCAGCTATTTTAAAATGTTTTTTTTCATTAAAATGTATTTGAACATTTCAGGGCTGGCACCCAAGACTTCTCAGAGTAACAGGACAAATATTCTTTCCTCTGGGAGCAGGATTCTCTTGCAAGTCTGACTGTGTTCAGTTAGTTGAGTGATGAGAGACAGACACGGCCCGAATTACAGGTTGAGTTCATATTGGCAAGCATAAACTGAAGTGTGCTCAGTCACAAACTACAGAGCAGTTATAGTAAAAAATGTTTGCAAGTGTTTCCGAAAAATTAAAAAAAAAAAAAGTAATCTTAAAATGTCCATCCTTAAAGAAAACAATATTGGCCAGACATTGTGGCATATTCCTTTAATCCTAACACTCTGGAGACAGATGGATCTCAACCTGGTCTTTATGTGGATTTAAACTTTTCTTTCATCTTTTTATATCTATCTTCACTGAGGCAGAAGCAACTGGGAGTGCTGCCAGGGGAGGAGAAAACCCATGATCCCTTGGGCTGTAGGGCATATGCCTCCTTTTTGTTGGGTGAGGCTGGTTTTCCCAGCCCTCTGTGCAGTCTCTCCTGAGAGCACAGAGAGGGCAGCCATGATGGTCTAACACCAAGGGAACAGAGTGAAGGAGAAGTGCCTCATTACCACACAGCCAGGTGAAGTCCGGACTCCACTGTAGGAAGAAGCTTAGCTTCGAGCCAGTGGGACTAAAGCTTTGGCCCCTTCTTAACATCATCCTGGAAGGGATATTAGGAACCTTGTCACAGACTCAAGGGTGAAATTCTGGGCTCCTCAAGCTGTCTCTCTTGGTGTGGGTGAGCAGGACAACCATTTTGTTCTACAACATTTGATTGGCTTGGAGTGGGATTGTCTTGTTGCTGTCTCAGTTGTGTGTCGCCAGGCCCCAAGTCTAGAAAGTACATTCACATGGCTTTACTTTCCAAGACCCTTCCCAGTGTCCTTTGGCTAAAGAGAGCAGGGTTCTCCTGGGGCTGTGTCCATTGGTGTGTATGGGTTACTTGTTCTGTGCCTAACCTCAGATAGATGAGGTGCAAAGAAATATCAGAGAACATGTCATGCTTGGGTTGCTGATCCTCAGGACCCCAAGGTCCAGGGCGCTCTCTCTGCCCTGCTCTCTGTGTTGCAGTTGCATATCTGTATGTCATGCCTGGGGTTCTTAATTATACTTAGCTTGGAATGAGGAGACTCAGTCTGTTCCATTTTTCTCCTGTGTTTACATTGTGTTAATGTGGAGTCTTTAAAGTAGAATTATTTTCTAACTTACTTTCCAGCCCCACCCTTCTATTTTCTTCCCTAATTTTCCTGCGTTGCTCCAGTTTGGATTTTTAGTTTCTCTTCAAAAGCAGGGCATTCAGGCAATGCCCATTTCCCATTAATTCTTCCAGCTAAGGCTTTCATACATTTCTCTTTAGCCGAGATAGTGACACTCATCCCTACTCAGTTCAGAATGGCGTTGAGAGTTTATCTGATGTGAAACACTCAGAACATTTGTCCTCTTTGTGCGCTGGGACAGAAGCAAAATGTGGGATGTATACATAATAAATGAAAAGGCAGGAATTTGTATGGTAGCTCACAAGTGTGACTGTCCCAGTTTCTTAGGGAGAAAGTCACTAAATTACCAACAATATTAAGTCTGGATTTTAATTTTTTTTCTCATTTTATGCTTTAAAATTGTCTACCATGCTATGCGTTATTGTTATAATGAGGAGCATAAACTCAAACATTTAGGAATGATCTTATATATGTTTAAAGTCCGGTATTAAATGAGATGGTTACAAGTTGTTTACAATTAAGTATATTTTTCATACACAAATATAGATATTTGTACCTATATTTATATATAAGCACATAAAATAAAAAAGTGGGAACATTTTATTCTTTAATCAAGGAGCACGTAATTTGATGGCACAGTGCTACCTGCCTGTGTGAGAATTGAAGTCACAGGAAAAGAACTTTTTAAGATGGTATCTAATTGTCAACTTTTACAGCAGGTAACATTTGGAGTCTAAGACACATGAAAAGAAGGCCATGGAGCTAGCCGTCCTTACATCCTTACTGTGCTGTTTCTGTCCAGCAGAGCCTAGGAGCTTGTGGACAGAGTTCTTCTCTCTCTATTACTCGGTTATCCATGATTTATTTTAGGGTGCTATGAGAAGAGAAACTGAGAGTCTCCAGTTAGGGAAGGGGGAGTTCAGGAGCAGTGTAAATAGGTAGTTTCTCTGGCCCCAGCTGCAGGAACTTACTGACCTAATTATTATCTTTTGTTTAGTTTGACCAAGCGGCAGATGCTGAGTTGTCCTGGATTACTGAAACAGAGAAGAAATTAATGTCTCTGGGTGACATCAGGCTTGAGCAAGACCAGACTTCTGCTCAGCTGCAGGTTCAAAAGGTAAAGAAATACATTTCCAGTTGCTGTCTCAGTTGTGTCTCCAGGCCCCAAGTCTAGAAAATACATTCACACGGCTTTACTTTCCAAGACCCTGTCAGTGGAACGCGCTATTTTCAGCTCCTTTGCCTACTTGCCTTCCCTGAATCAGACACTTTCTTTGTATATTTGTCTTTGTTTGGTAAATCACAGGCTTTCACCATGGATATTTTGAGACACAAGGATATTATTGATGAACTTGTTAAATCTGGATATAAAATCATGACCACATCTACTGAAGAGGAAAAGCAGTCCATGAAGGTATCACCTTGTCCATATTGCTAGGCCGTGAACTTTGAATGAATAGCATCCACTGAGCACCGAGTTCTAGAAGGGCACTTTCTCTGTATCTGCAGCTGTTGTTTAATCATTAAATTTAAATCAGGCGTCTTTTAAGGTTACAGAATGACCATGGAAACCAATCCCCAGAGGACTGTCTATCTGAACACATCTGAGCCATTACAAAGTTTCCTTGATTAACTAGCACACACTGAACATTCAGTCAGTATTAGCTGTGGTATTGTTAGGGTGGAATGTCAGCTTATGTGAGTCATAAGGCATGTCACCTATGGGTCATACGCTTTTGGAACATTTGTAACTTTTAAGCTGAAACAAAATCTAAAATATGTAGGTCTTCATTCTCTCTAAAGTTACTCTAAGCCAGTAGGGGAGCAAATAGCTAAGGAAAATATAGGTATTTGTAGTTTTAATGGTTCTGCAGATTGGTAGAAAACCATCCACAGGTAAAAGTGGTTGGCTCAATTTACGTACTTAAAGCTTAAAGAAATGACTGCATGCTAATACTTCCAGCTAAGTATATGACCCCAAATAAAAATATGTAAATATCCGTGCCTCAAATTTCATTTTAGATAAAATACATTTTCTTTCAGGAAGACCACAAGTAGAGTTTATACATAGTACAGTGGCCTACTTTGATTCCCATTCATGTAATTGATTTTATTTGTAATTGGTTTTTGTTCATATGATTTCATTTGTAAAGTTGATCTTTTTTTCTTTAGATGGTAATGTAAATCTTGCTAGACTTTATGAACCTACTTTCTAACCCTGGGAACAGCATGAGAGTACCAGAGGATTCTGCTTATTATATTTCAGCATCTTGTGCATAAAAAAATTGATTAACAAGAGTATGTGCATAGACACAGTTCATCTGAGCAGCTTTTCCTTATGCATTCATTTCATGTACAACTGTTGTGTGCCCGCTCTGTGCCAGATGTACATAGCTGGTCAGAGCAACCCCAACTGCAACTACTAGCCTGACAGACGTATTTCCTCACCTTGTTTTCTAGAAAAAACTGGATAAGGTATTGAAGAACTATGACGCCATCTGCCAGATAAACTCAGAGAGGCACCTGCAGCTGGAGCGGGCACAGTCACTCGTCAGCCAGTTCTGGGAAACGTATGAGGAGCTCTGGCCATGGCTGACGGAAACCCAGAGAACCATCTCCCAGCTGCCCGCCCCAGCCCTGGAGTACGAAACTCTGAGACGGCAGCAGGAAGAGCACCGGGTGAGAACGAGAGAACGAGCCATTAACTGGGATACTGGTCTCTAATGCAGTGTTTAAAGTGCTGTAAGACACCATGCAGAAACAGGGCATTTTAGAAAGGCTACGGTGCGTGTCGTCTGCCTCCCTCACGGCTGGGTAGCTGTCACTCACTGTGTGACACAACTTTCATAGAGAAGCGTGTGCTACCGCCCATCTGGGTTGGAAAAAGAACACCATTTCCAATGTTAGCTGGGAGCTTTTGGGGTGCTTTCAGTTATATAGGTTGAACTGCTTTCCACATACATATGTTGGATATGCTCTGTGCATCATATGTCGTGGTCAGAGCCGTCTAAAATATTAAAAAGTAGAGCAGAAGTACACAGAAGAGCCATCATACACACAAAGCCATCGAGTGCAGAGAATCTGCACAGCGGCATGTATCTGTCAGAACAGCAATGTCAAGAAAGCCACAAAGTATCGACAGGTTGGGGCTGGGTAACAGCCCCATGTGACTCCATGCTGGCTGTTAGCAGGCCGTCCCTCCTCCACACTGTGCCATTGCTGGAGGGTGACCTAAAGTACAGGAAATGTATGTGGAACTCTGGCAGTTGGAAGTCCTCCCTCTAGCAGTCACTTAAAACGTATTTTTTTAAGTGACTCTTTAGTGTCACTTGAAACGTGTAAGAATCTGGTTGGAAGAGCGTTCACGTTGCAGACGATCTGAACCCCCTTCTGCTTATGGGCTTGAGAACCTATGATACATATTTTCTTTAAATACACCTTACAGTAGTGTTCAGCATACAGTCGTGTGTTTGATAAATTCATCACCCTTGAAATTTTAACAGTTTATAATAATAAACGGGGCGGGAGAGATGGCTTGGCAGTCGAGAGCACTCGCTGCCCTTGGAGAGATCTGGTGTACGTTCTCGGCACCCACGTGGCAGCTCACCACCTTCCCCGTAACCACACACACAAATAAGTGTAATAAGATAACCAATAGAGACAAAGGATGTATTTAGTGTCCATATGCACTGTATATGCATACAACAGGCCCTACTGTACATGTATGAACATGATGTAATATTTGTGAGTATCCATCTGGTCCTGGCTCACACGTGTGAGCACAGCGCCCGAGGCTCACGTCACCCTCATCCCTCTCTGTATTGAGGTTTTTAAGATCCTGGCATCATGTCTTTCTTCCCCCCGAGATTCCTCCTGTTCTTGATGTCTCCTCCCCGAGTCATTTCTGCATTTGTTATGAATTTGCAGAAAGAAGCATGCAAGAGCCATGGCTCAGCCTAGGGGTCCAGCCTGCTTCTCCACAGGTGTGACACTCTTGTGAAAGTAGACAGCACTGGCTGTGAGGCACACTTCTACTGACTCTGTTGCCTCTCTTGTGTGTGTCCTGAAAGGCATGTGGCCAGACAGTTGTCTGATCCGGTGTTGGGGCTTCTCCTGGCAGAGCCATGGATACTTGCCTTGCCGTGGGGAAGGCGTTAGTTGCACGGCTCCTGCCAGCTGCATGCACTGGAGATGTGATCAACTGTAATACGGAGGTGTGACTCTGAGATACTGAGAAGCTGTTTGGTTTATTATAGCAACTGCGAGAGCTGATAGCTGAGCACAAACCTCACATAGATAAGATGAACAAGACTGGGCCACAGTTGCTGGAACTGAGCCCAAAGGAAGGCGTTTATATCCAAGAAAAGTATGTGGCAGCCGACACCCTCTACAGCCAAATTAAAGAAGATGTCAAAAAGCGGGCCATAATACTGGATGAAGCCATTTCTCAGTCCACCCAGGTAATCCTTTATACTAAGAGGAAAAAAAGTCATTTCTTCCCCACTGCCACTTATACAAAAAACATTTTCCTTGACCCCCCCCCCCAATTAAATTTCATCTTAAATGATGTCGCTGAACACATTGCCTTTTCTCTCAGAGGTGGGATTAGTTTGCAGCCAACTCTTAGGTTTCTCTGCCTCCTTCAAGGTACAATAAAGAAGAATTTTCAGTGAGTAGGAAACCTACTTGCAGCAATGATCAGATACTTGCTCAGTGTACACCATAAGTGGAACACAGTTTTGACACTGGGGAAATAAAAGACACTTGAAATTATTAGCAATAAAAATTTACTTACAAAAGCATTGAGAGAAAAACCTGAGCAATAAGCCAAATAAAAAAGATAAGAATATTACATAGTAAACAGAGTCTTTGTCAAGATGTGGATTTTTTCTTTTTTTAATACCTGTAGGTATTAAAAACCATTTCCAAGGTTTGGTTTTTATCATCAGATACCAGGCATTGGGATGGCATTTTCTGCAATCCTAAGTGCATGTTCTAGTTTCCCTTCAGTCGCTGCAGGAAAATAATCTGACCAGAAGCGACTGAGAAGTTTGCGGAGTGTGTGTGTGTCGTCTGACACTCCCAGGCCACAGTCCATCGTTGTGGGGCAGCAGGGCAGGAACTCAAGCAGGAGGTGAAGCAGAAACCATGGAGGAATGCTGCTTGGTCCTCCTCACAGGTCCATGCTTAGCCTGCTTCCCCCGAGCCTGCACTGTCTGCTCAGGAATGGTGCCACCCACAATGAGCTGGGCCCGCCCTCAGCAGTTGGCACCCACTGGAAAGCTAGTACAGAGGTTAAACTAGACACAGCTTGTGACATTGCGTAACTCCACCCTTACGAATAGAAAGTTAAAATTGTTTTCTTTTATCCAGCTATGAATTAAATACAAACTTTAGATACAACGTTGGACACGTTTTTATTTTGTTTAATTTTACATTATTTTTTTCCAGTTCAGGAAGTATATAACTCAAGGAATTATAGTGAACCTACAAAACCACCTATGAATTTGCGTGTACTTGCATAACGTTTTAGGATTTCAGAATGGTTGTTTTAAACGAATAATCAGTTTTGACAGCCAAATGCAGAGCTTATTTAAAAAAAAAAAAAAAAAGGTTGAATTGTGATAAAATTAAGTGTCAGGTTCAGATTCATATTGCTGCCAAGGCGTGTAGACGATTAATGAATAAGCTACCTTTTGATGGGAAACTCAAGAATCCTCTTCCTAAGTGCAGAGTTGTACAGAGGTGATGCCTTTAGGCATGGCTTCATGCACCAGCCGGTTGTAAGTTTTCGGATGGAAATGTTGGCAAAGGGCCTTTCGCTTTTAGCTGAAGGAAGTATTGCATGTGCCATTACAGTGATCCCATTGTTTTTCTCGGTAGTTCCACGACAAGATCGACCAGATCCTAGAGAGCCTGGAGCGCATCGTGGAGCGTCTGAGGCAGCCGCCGTCCATCTCTGCTGAGGTTGAGAAGATCAAGGAGCAGATCGGTGAAAATAAGAGCGTGTCTGTGGACATGGAGAAGCTGCAGCCACTGTACGAGACCCTGAGGCAGAGGGGAGAGGAGATGATCGCCAGGTCCGAGGGCACTGAGAAAGACATATCTGCCAAAGGTAGTGATTTTGGAGTGATGAAACAACTCCATTTTCCTTTCTGTTGACTTGTTTGGTTGATTGGTTGGCCGGTTGGCCGGTTGGCTTTGAGACAGGCTCTCTCTCTATGTAGCACTGGCTGGCCTGGAGATAGCTGTGTAGATCAGGCTTGACCTCATGCTCATAGAGATCCATCTGCCTCTACCTTCTAAGTGCTGGGATTGAAGACACATTTTCCATGCTTGGCCTCACTTTACTTTTAAAATAGCTCTAGATTTCTGTGCTGTTCATTGATAGCCCAACTGCAGAGCAGAATGTGAGGTCGATAAAACGTTTGCATTGTGATGTGCAAACTATGAAAAAGTCTTTTAACATCTTTCTCAGTTGGTAAAATCAACTGGTTGAAAGCAAAATGTGGTCATATAATGACTGTGTGCTCTCTGAGTCTCTAAGTCTGTAAGACTAAAATTAATGCTAATAAGGTCAAAGCTGGGGGTACAATTTTAGTATCTTCTCCAGCACACTTGCTCCATCCCACAACCTCCAGAATATCTGTGAGTCAGAAGGAAGAATTCTGTAAATGTGCTCTTCCTCTTGGATTAGGAGTGTAAATACAAGCATTCCAGAAGCAAGTCAGAAACGCAAACCCTTCTTGTTCCATTCCTGGGACTAAACAGGCCATTTCGTTCTTAAAGAGAGTAAGAAAATATGTCAGGTTAATTTCTTACTGGATTTGGCTTTAAGGCCAGCCTTAGTGAACTTCAAACTTGGTAAATTCGAGTCTACTCTGAACTCATGTAGCTTTAAGCATCAACTTTTGTAAGAAGTCTTGGTTCAGCCTGGGTGGGCCCATGGATTCTGCATTGTGTGGGATTTGGGCACCATGGTAATACACAGACTGCAGTTAGTGGAAACCCGGTCCAGCCTGTGTACTTGGCAAGTTGAATAGCTGCTTGCTGTATGAGCTTTGCCTATATGAAGATGAGCAGCATCTTCGCTGACATTGTTTTATTTTGCAGCTGTGCAGGATAAGTTGGACCAAATGGTTTTCATCTGGGGAAACATACACACGCTGGTAGAAGAGAGGGAAGCCAAACTCCTGGATGTTATGGAACTGGCCGAAAAATTCTGGTGTGATCACATGTCATTGGTCGTTACCACTAAAGACACTCAAGATTTCATCCGGGACCTGGAAGATCCTGGAATTGATCCCTCAATAGTGAAACAGCAGCAGGAAGCAGCAGAGGTAAGAAACGGAACTCATATCAACTAAAACAAACAAAAAACTAAGTTCAGCATGATAACACCCCAATTCTGTGTATATCTGAAAAATTACACCATTAATATCTGCATTTAGTTCTGAATGTGGGATGCATAGTGAGTACCAAGAAATAATGGACTCACAAATGTCCCTTGGAGTTATCCTTACAGTATCTCTCTGCATCGGCACTGCTAGTGCTGGTTTCAGGGCCTCCCAGGTAATCTCAGGACAGGATGTCTGCCCTTGCCGGCCTCCAGCCCTGTTGCTGTCTCTATCCTGCTGCCTAACACTCCTCAGATGCACCTACCCCCTGCTGGGTAGAGCCCAGAAGCAGCCTTGCATACACTAGCTGGTGCCCACTTTGCCACAGGCATCATTCCACTGGTCCTTTGCCACTGTGCTCACTTGAGAGTCTGGTGTGCCCTACACTCTTTTCCTTGCCTCGGCATGTCATTTCTGACACCCCAGTGAGAAGAAGCTTCAAGATGTGGTAGAATTATTACCCACTCTGGGTACTGTATTTTTTTGTTTGTTTGATTCTTTGTTTTTATTATGGGTCCTTGAAGAAGACTAGGCAAGTATTTCCTTTTCAGGTGTTTGGTTTAGGGCTTTGTTCGTGCTTACTAAATATTCATTGCTGGGTGGGTGCGTTTAACCGTGACTGATGTATCAGCAGTTGGCAGGTCCCACCCAGCATGGTGGCACAGCATGAGACTCCAAAGGCAGGCTATCAAGTTTCCCAACAGGGACACGACTTTCCTCAAGATCTTTGTGTCTATTTTGAACAGATACAGGCAAACTAATTGTGAAAAACCCAATGGCTTTAAGTTCTTCGCAGTACTTGGGGTACTCTTAAATTGCTCTGGTATTTTGTCACATTGTTATTTTTATCTTTATAGTAAAGATTGGGCATTAGAGGATACTATTTTCTCTAAGATACTCATTTTGTTTTCTTGTTCAAAAAAACAACTGTATGAATTTGGGAACTAAAAGAAAATGAAGGGTGCTCATGTCGAGTAGGAATCCCCATGGGCAGCTCTGTGCGACATCTTGTCTTGGTTTTGGTATGACTTTGCATGGTGTCTTGAGGCTCTTGTTTTGAATTCTAGGCAATAAGAGAGGAGATCGATGGACTTCAAGAGGAGCTCGACATGGTCATCTCGCTGGGCTCTGAGCTCATCGCCGCGTGTGGGGAGCCTGACAAGCCCATTGTCAAGAAGAGCATAGACGAGGTACCAATGGCTTGTTTTCCACATTTTGTGAATGCCTTCCTCAAGACTTGGCAAGCTAACACCTGTTTTTACAATTATTGGAAAGTATAAATTTTTGACACTCAAAGGACTTAATCCATTTGTATTGTAGCTAAATTCAGCATGGGATTCTCTAAACAAAGCTTGGAAAGACCGGGTTGACAAACTGGAAGAGGCCATGCAAGCTGCTGTCCAGTACCAGGATGGATTGCAGGTGAGTTGGTTGCCATGTCCGCCGGTCTCATCTGGAAGGGGGGATCTCGTTTATGGGTGTCTATACATTTACACGTTGGTACCAGCCCAACACTTTGTGTGCAGCTGCAGACAGATCTCTTCCTGTATTTGCCACAGCTACTTTGACTCAACTTATTAGAAGACATTTCTTACTGTTTAGACTTATGGATTTATATATGCAACTAAATGTGGATTTGTACACACGTCAGTGAAACTTACTTTGAAAAGAAGTGTTCTAATGTGTTGTGTTTTTTTTTTTAAGTGAAAGTAAATATTCCCACACAGTAATTTTTATAAATTTTTGAGCACCAGGCAGTCAAGTGACAGGGAACAGTCTTAGTTCTGTTCTAAAGTTGAGTGAAATAATATGAAAGGGATAAACACGGGCTAAAAATACCACCAAGTTTAACTGAAGTCAGAATTAAAGAGAACTGACATGACGCCAACCTTTCTCTGTGTACTAAAATAGATTTCTATTTTATTGGCTCACAACTGGGTGTATCAAGGTGCTTTCTTCTTTTCCATGTGTGTAATTGCTAAAATTCTTGTTTCTCATATCTCCTCAAGGTGCTGGTTCAGTTCGTTAGCCAGTAAGAAACTGTTTGGTTTTTTAATATTAAGGTTCTCTTGAGGTCAGCTTGGGGACGTTTCTTCTGTACCTTCCTCCACTTTGTCCTGTTTCCTAACAGGTTGGCAGAGGTTTAATCTCCTCTACTTTTTTCGGCATGGAAAACCCCTCTCTAAGTATTTCCATAACACTAAAGTGAATATTATTTTTAAAGCTCATATGAGAACGTTCTTTCCTTTTTCATTATGCCGCTTCATCCTGTGTTTGAAAAAAATAAATGTCACCAGCAAGGCTTTATGTCAACTAAAAGGGCTTTGAACTTTGGAAACACATAAAATTCTTCATGACAAATAACACCTTATTATAACTCCCATAGGTGTGTGTCCACTTGCACACACACACACACACACACACACACACACCACCCCAAGCAAAGTAATGATTTCTTGATAAATAACCAGTGACCACTGATAGCTACACCGGAGTCCACAGTAGATTCCCTCTCTCTGTGTGAGGCTGCATCGTGATGGCGAGTCTTTTGAGTGGGGCTGTCTTCCATGGCTAGAAGTGATTGCTACCACCACTGTGTGAGGCCCCTTGGGAGCCATGGGCAAGGCACTGTGATTTCACACAGACTCCTCGCCAGCAGCAGAGGAGTAAGGGCCATCACGGGTCTTGTTTGCCATGAGTGGCAACTTGGTTTACTAAGTTGTGTTGCAGTAGCTGGAATGTAGCTCTAGGTACTCCATAGGGCTCAGGGCTTGATTAGGAAGTGAAATATGCTTTCTTCCCAGGATGCTGCTTAAGTAATTAGGGTTGATTAATGGTCGTTTAAACACATTAGATAGTTTATAAGGTTTCTCTTGTCAACCTCATTAAAATGTAAAATGATGTTATCCATTCTTTGCCTTGAAAAATGTGTAGAATGTGTGCAAACCTTAAAGGAGCAGAGACAGTAGTGGGCTCTGGAGTCTGCCACAGTTCACACGAATGGTAATCTGTCTTTCTCATTTATTTATTTAATCCCTTCAGAGCCGTATCCCAGCCCCTCCTTCCTCTCCTCCCAGTCCCACCCTCATCTCCTTCTCTCCCAATCCCCCTTCTTCTTCTCAGAGACAGGGAGGCCCCCAAGGTGCCAACCCTCCCTGGCACCTCAAGTCGCAGCACGACTAGGCGCATCCTCTCCCACTGAGGCCTGACAAAGCAGCCCAGCTAGGGGGAAGGGATCCAGTTGCAGGCAACAACAGTTGCAGCCCCTGCTCTCGTTGTTAGGGGACCCGCACGATGACAGTGCGGCACATCTGTTACATATGTGTGGGGGTTCTAGGTCCAGCCTGTACGTGCTCCTTGGTTGGTGGTCCAGTCTCTGTGAGCTCCCCATGGGCTCAAAGTAGTTGACTCTGTACTTGTGGTGTCCTTGACTCCTCCAGCTCCCTCAATCCTTCCTCCCACTCTTCCACAGAACTCCCTGAGTTCAGCCTGGGTTTCTGCATCTGTTTCTGTCAGCTGCTGAATGAAGCCTCTCAAAAGACAGTTATGCTAGAATCCTGTCTGCAAGCATAACAGAGTATCATGAATAGTGACAGGGGTTGGCTCTCTCCCATGAGGTCGGCCAATCATTGGTTTGCCATTTCCTTAATCTCTGCTCCATCTTTACCCTTACCCTCAGGAGCCTCCTAGTCCCAGAGCTGCCCCCACTCCCATCCCCATTCCCAGTGATGTCCATTCTCTCTCCAGGTCCTCCTTCCCCACACCACCTCCCCTGATTTCTGCACACCTGATCCCCTCCCCATTTCCCTCCCCCGACCCTGGTCCCTCCTTCCATCTACTTTAGAAGTCTATCTTATTTTCTGTTCTGAGCGAAATTCAAGCATCTTCCCTTGGGCCATCCTTGGGTCTTTGGATTGTAGGATGGTTATCCTGTACTTTATAGCTAATATTTACTTGTAAGTAAGTACATACCATGTGTGTCTTTCTGGGTCTGGGTTACCTCACTCAGGATCTTCTCTAGTTTCATCCATTTGCATGAAAATTGCATGCTGTCTTTGTTTTTAATAGCTGAGTAGTATTCCATTGTATAGATTATCACAATTTCTATATCCATTTTTCAGTTAAAGGACATTTAGGTTGTTTCTAGTTTCTGGCCATTATGAATAAAGCACCTATGAACACAGTTGAGCAAGTGTCCTTGTTGTATGGTAGAGTGTCTTTTGGGTATATGACCAGGAATGGTATAGCTGTGTCTTAAGGTAGATCTAATCCCAACTTTCTGAGAAAGCACTAGATTGATTTCCAGAGTGGTTGTACAAGTTTGCACTCTCATCAGCAATGGATTAGGGCTCCCCTTGCTCTGTATCCTCACCAGCACATGCTGTCACTTGAACTTCATCATAGTCATTCTCACAGGTGTAAAATGGAATCTCAGAATCATTTTGATTTGCACTTCCTTGATGACTAAGGACATTGAACATTTTTTAAGTGCTTCTCCACCATTAGATTCCTTTGTTGAAAATTCTCTGTTTACCTCTGTACCCCATTTTTATTGGGTTTTTCAGTTTGTTGGTGTTTAATTTATTGAGTTCTTTATCTATGTTAGATATTAGCCCTCTGTTGGATATAGGGTTGGTAAAGATCTTTTTTCATTCTGTAGGCTTCTGGTTTTGTCCTATTGACAGTGTCCTTTGCCTTACAGAAGCCTTTCAGTTTCATGAGGTCCCATTTATTAATTGTAGCTCTTAGAGCCTGAGCCGTTGGTGTTCTGTTCAGGAAGTTGTTTCCTGTGCCAGTACATTCAACACTCTTCCCCACTTTCTCTTCTATCAGGTATAGTTATCTGGTTTTATGTTGAGGTCTTTGATCTACTTAGACTTGAATTTTGTGCAGGCTGATAAATGTGGATTTTCATTCTTCTACATGTAGACATCCAGTTAGACCAGCACCATTTGTTGAAGATGCTGTCTTTTTTCCATTGTATGGTCTAGGCTACTTTGTCAAAAATCAAGTGTCCGTAGGTGTGTGGGTTTATTTCTGGTTCTTCTATTCGATTCCATTGATCTATCAGTCTGTTTCTATGCTGGTACCATGAGGTTTTTATTACTATTGTTTTGTAGTACACCCTGAAGTCAGGAATGGTGATACGTCCAGAAGTTCTTTTATTGTACAGGATTGTTTTAGCTATCCTGGGTTTGTTTTTTTGTTTTGTTTTGTTTTGTTTTTTTTATGAAATTGAGAATTGCTCTTTTCCAGGTCTGTAAAAAAAAATGTGTTTTGAATTTTGATGAAAATTGTATTGAATTTGTAGATTGTTTTTTGTAAGATGGCCATTTTTACTACATTAATCCTACTGATCCATGAGCATGGGAGATCTTACCATCTTCTGATATCTTATACAATTTCTTTCTCAGAAACTTGAAGTTTTTGTCATATAGGTCTTTGGCTTGTTTGTTAGAGTTACACCAAGGTACTTTATATATCTGTGGCTACTGTGAAAGGTGTTGTTTCCCTAATTTCTTTCTCAGCCCATTTATCACTTGTGTCAAGGAGGGCTACTAATTTGTTTTAATTCGTTTTGTATCCAGCCACTTCACTGTATGTATTTATCAGCTGTAGGAGTTCTCTGGTAGAATTTTGGGGGTTATTTATGTATAGTATTATACCGTCTTTGATACTATACTTTGACTTCTTTGTTTCCAATTTGTATCCCCTTGATTTCCTTTAGTTGTCTTACTGCTCTAGCTAGAAATTCTAGTACCATATTGAAGAGGTATATAGAGAATGAACAACCTTGTTTTGTCCCTGATTTTAGTGGAATTGCTTTAAGTTTTTCTCCACTTAATTTGATGTTGGCTATAAGTTTGTTGTATATTGCCTTCATTTTGTTTAGATATGTGCGTTGTATCCCAGATCTCTCCAATACTTGTAACATGAAGGGATGTTGAATTCTGTCAAAGGCTTTTTCAGCATTTAATGAGGTGATCATGTGTTTCTTTTTTCTTTCAGTTTGTTTACATGGTGGATTACATTGATGGATTTTCATATATTTAACCATCCCTGCCTCCCTGGGATGAAGTATACTTGATCATGGTAGATGATAGCATTGATGTTTTCTTGGATTCTGTTTCCAAGTATTTTATTGAGTATTTTTGCATCAGTGTTCATAATGGAAATGGGTCTGAAATTCTCTTTCTTTGTTGAGTTGTTGTATGGTTTAGGGATCAGAGTGACTGTGGCCTCATATATGAGTTTGGTAATGTTCCTCCTGTTTCTATTTTGAGAAATAGTTTGAGGAGTATTGGTGTTAGCTCTTCTTTGAAAGTCTGGTAGAATTCTGCACTAAAACTATCTGGCCTTTTTTGTTGTTTGGAAGACTTTTAATGACTTTTTCTATTTCTTTAGGAATTATAGGACTATCTAAATAGCTTGTCTGATCTTGATTTAACTTTGGTAAGTGGAATCTATCAAGAAAATCTTCCATTTCATTTAGATTTTCCAATTTTGTGGAGTATAGGTTCTTGAAATAAGACCTAATGATTCCTTGTATTTCTTTAGTCTCTGGTGTTATGGCCCCCTTTTCATTTCTTATTTTGTTAATTTGGATACTGTCTGTCTTTTAATTATTTTGGCTAAGGATTTGTCTATCTTGTTGATTTTCTCAAAAAAAAAGGGGGGGGTTGTTTTTGTTGATTATTTGTATTCTCTGTTTCTATTTTATTGACTTCAGCCCTGACTTTGGTTATTTCTTGCCATCTACTCCGTGGGTATGTTGGCTTCTTTTGTTCTAGAGCTTTTAGGTGAGCTACTAAGCTACTAGTGTGAGATATCTCCAGTGTCTTTATGAAGGCACTTGCAGCTATGAACTTTCCTCCTCGCACTGCTTTCATTGTGTCCTATACATTTTTCACCCTGGTTTTCATTGAATTCTAGAAGGTCTTTAATTTCTTTTTTGTTTATTTATTTCTCCCCTGACCTAGTGATCATTGAGTAGAGAGTAGTTCGGTTTCCATGAGTTTGTAGACTTTCTGTTGTTTCTATTGTTGTTGAATTCCAGCTTTAATCCATGGTCATTTGATAAGATACAAGGAGTTATTTCAATTTTCTTGTATCTCTTGAGGCTTGTTTTGTGACCGACTATATGGTCACTTTTGGAGAAGGCTCCATGAGGTGCTAAGGAGAAGCCACATTTTATTTCAATTTAGTATTTGGTTATTTTCATTAGTTATTTGATAATTTTTAATTAATTAACTTTTTATTCACTTTGCATCCCAAATGTAGCACCCTCCCAATTTTTTCCCTGTCCCAACCTTCTTTTATTTTCTCTCTATTCCCCCTTCTCCTATTCCTCAGAAAAGAGGAGCTCCCCCTACAAACCCACCAGCACATTGAGTCATATCATGACTGAGCACATCCTCTTCCCCTGTGGCCTGGTAAGGCAGTCCTGCCAGGAGGGAGTGTTCAAAAGGCAAGCAAAAAAGAGTCCATGTTACAGACAGTCCCCACTCCCTTTACTAGGGAACCCATATGAAGCCTAAGCTGCCTATCTTTGTAGGGGACCTAGATCCAGTCCATGCATGGTCCTTGGTTGATACTTCAGTCTCTGCAAGCCCCTCTTGGCCCTGGTTAATTGACTGTTATTCTTCTTGTGGAGCTCCTTTTCCCTCCAGGCCTTTCTGTCCTTCCCTCCCCACTTTTCCACATGACTTTCACTTTTATATTTGGGTGAAATGTTCTAGGTCCACTTTTATATTTAGGTAAAATCTGTTAGGTCCATTTGATTCATAACTTCAGTTAGTTTCATTATTTCTCTGTTTAGTTTCTGTTTCTGTGACCCGTCCAATGGTGAGGGTAGGTGTTGAAGTCTCCCAGTATTAATGTATGGTGTTTAATGTGGGATTTAAGCTTTAGTAATGCTTTGTTTATGATTGTGGGCTCCCCTTGCATTTGGAGCATAGATGTTCAGAATTGAGAAGTCATCTTGGTAGATTTTTCCTTTTGAGTGTGAAATGTCCTTGCATAACTTTTTTGATTAATTTTGGTTCAAGTCTGTTTTGTTAGATATTAGAACAGCTAGTCCAGCTTGCTTCTTGGATCTTTTGCTTGGAAAATCCTTTTCCAGCCCTTTACTCTGAAGTAATGTCTATCTTTATTGCTGAAGTGTGTTTCTTGTATGCAGCAGAACGATGGCTCCTGTTTTCTCATCCATTCTGTTAGCCTATGTCTTTTTATTGGAGAGTTGGTCCTTTGATATGGGAGATGTAATCTTAATCATGTGCAGGATTTTAATGTTAATCTAGGTAGTATATGAAGGTTAGACAAACTGCTGAACAGTGACCCTCTTGGTTATTTGAATAAGCAGATGCATTTGGACCTTTTCTCTCAGTGTATTTCTGTATAAACAAATGGGAATTTTCACTTTCATGATTGAATGTATAAACTTATTTAAATGAAAGTTATTATTTTATTTGAAAGTGCTTGATAATTTAAGAATAGGATTTCTTTTGCCAGCTCTGGTGCAGAACTGGAGGTGACATTTACTTGGTATTTGAGGAGCTATTTTATATCTGTTTTTATTCAGGTGAACTGTCTTAGTTTTATAAAGTAGGCATCTTTCATAATTTCTTCTAGTTATTGCCTTTGCCTGGGATACCAGAGCCAAGGCCATTGCAGAGAAACCATTATAACATGTGGAAAATGTGTCTTTCAGGCAGTGTTTGACTGGGTTGACATCTCAGGTAATAAGTTAGCCTCAATGTCTCCAATTGGAACGGATCTAGAGACCGTCAAGCAGCAGATTGAAGAGCTGAAGGTATGTGTGGGGCTCCTGGTTGGTAAAGAACTGCGATATTTTAAATTTACTGATTTACCCAATTTCCCACATAAGTTCATTTAGTTTACATAATGGAAACATTATATATTGAGTTCTAAACTGTGCTTATTTCTGTTGCTTGCATTCATTTGCCGTATGTGTTTGCACGTGATTGTGTCACACATGTAAGGAGGTCAGGAAAGAACTTGTAGGCAGCTCTCTCCTTCCATGGTGTAGATCCTGAGGCTCAAACTTGGGTCATCAGACTTGGTAACAAATGCCTTTCCCCACTGATGCATTTCACAGGCCCTACGATTGTTTTATAATGATACCTACATGTTTTACGTGTAAGTAAGTGCTTATTTTTTAAAATGAAGGACTGTTTTCTTTTAATTATGTTTTTATACGTTATAGAAGTATAAATAAGCAAAAAAGGGGAAACAAGATTAGTAACTCACTCCAAAAGCTATACACTTAAAGCAACTATGCCTAGAATTTGATGTACAGCCTTTCAGATACACTCATATCTGAATGGAGGGCATGAATGTGGAGAGGGGATGGCCAAATTTTTGGATCGTGCCATTGAGATCCTTATACCACTGCTGTTATTCAGTTGAACTGTTGTCATTTTATAAAGTAGGCACCTTTCTGAAACTTTTATAATGTGCCTTATCATTCAGTAGTCTGTTGTAATTACTGTAATTGACATAGTATTATAATATTAGCCAGTAATTAATATCAGAGATTCAAGTAAACATATTCTGTTGTTAATAAAAATGTTGGTTGACAAAACAAAGCTCATTAAGTGCCTGTCGGCCATTTAGGAAAGAGCAGGCAAAGGGATGTTGATCCGGGGGCACACGTGATGGCGCAGGTCTGTAGCACGCAGCCTGGTGAGGCTGAGGCTGGAGGATCGCCATGGGTTTGAGGCAAGCCTAAACAAAACAGTAGGGCCACCCAGAGCTCTATAGCAAGGTGTCTCACCTAAGTGGTAGTTGTAATTATAACTTATTTTACATCAACAGTGAAACATAGAAATAATTATTAACAAATACAACACAGCTGTAAAAACATGAAAATTATGAGGGAATGCCTAATGTGTACTTGAGAGCAGGAGCTGCTAAATTTCTTAAAGGCATTGTTTCCTGGGTTTTTATATACATTAACATAAAATCAGATATTACAGGACATTTCTCCATGGGATTTAAAAAAAAATTTACCATACAAAATAAAGATGAAACACCAAAACTGTAGCTATTCTTAGAACATTGAATAAAGGCGGGAAACTTCTACCTCTTCTGCTTTCAATGGGAAATGTAAATCTTAGAATATTTTTGGTTTAAAGTTACTGATGTTTTTAATGTTCTTTGTATTTTTATATAGCAATTTAAGTCAGAGGCTTATCAACAACAGATAGAAATGGAAAGACTGAACCATCAAGCAGAACTTTTGCTGAAGAAAGTAAAAGAAGAAAGTGACAAACACACTGTTCAGGACCCGTTGATGGAGCTGAAACTCATATATGATAGCCTGGATGAGAGAATCGTCAGCAGACAGGTAACTGACAGGACTCAGGATCATACAGTGTGCACGGATACTCTCAAACAGTAATATAAAACAATTATCAAGAATCAGGTTAGCAGTTAACATCAGTGCACTTTAGAAGCACCTAAATTTTCTTACTAAGATTGTCCGGTTTGTGCCATATTTAACCACCACAAATGAACACACAAAATATCAAACTACAGCATGAGTAGATTGCCGAGCTATGAGGATGGACTTGGGCGGCGTTAAACAGTTGGGTTTTGCCCTTGTTTTCTAAGGGCAGATCATTCATGAAGTCAAAATCTAAGTGGATTTCCTTCTTCTCTGCTTCTTGGCAGCACAAGCTTGAGGGTGCTCTCTTGGCACTGGGTCAGTTCCAGCATGCCCTGGATGAGCTCCTGGCATGGCTGACGCACACCAAGGGCTTGCTGAGTGAGCAGAAACCTGTTGGAGGAGACCCAAAAGCCATTGAAATTGAGCTCGCTAAGCACCACGTACGTACCGTTACTGTCTGCTATTGCTAATGCCTGATTCTTTCAAGTTTATGACTTTTACAGAGATTACTTGCCATTAAATTGCCTGAGATATGCTTATGCCTAAAGTGGTACAGTAAAAGTATTTTCCTCCCTGTGTGGGCTAACAGTTAACAAATGTAGCAACCAGGGCTGTGTAGCAAACAGCGGAGATTTAATCCCTGGTTGTACCTGCCACTGAGTTAACGTCACATACTTTTTAAGTTTGTAGGAAGTAGCCTAAAAGCTCCCAGGCTGAAAATGTTATTGTTCCACCACATCTTTTAATGTCTCTGGGCACCTGAGCAACAGTAACTTGCCAGAATAACTTTCACAAAAACAAAATATGCTTGTTCTCATGACGTGAGTTTGTAGAAGCATTTAGGTCTAGGAAATCTGGCAATTGTCTTAAAAGTAGCCTACGGCAGTGATCAGAACTGTGCGTAATGGGGGTAGAAAGCAAGACACCCAACCAGGTCATTCAGGCTGCAGACCTGTGGGAACCTCTAACTGTTCACCTGACTGCTTACAAATAGCCCTTTTGCCTTTTTCTTTTTCTTCCTCCCCGCCCCCCCCTTCATCTTTGAAAGATCCAAAACCAATGCTGAAAGTTTCTATCCTCTGCTTGCGGTCTCCCCCTTCCTCTGAGCGTTAGAGGAAGGAATTTTATAGAATTGTCCTACAGTTTACAGTTCATAGGACAACTGGCAGTGTTTAACTCTACGAACTGTAAACTGTAGAACACTGGCAGTGCTTAACTCTCAGGCCTCGAGGACACAGTTCCTGCTGTTTTCAGAGACAACAGGCTGCTTTCCAGAGCTGACTCCTCACTCAGCCAGGTTTGTACCTTTGGAAAACACTGACTCATCTGACTCACAAACTGATTGGCTAGTCAGAGGAGCAATGCTCTGGGTGCTGCCTCTCTCGTCTGGAAAGGCTTCCGGGTCTGTGTCCCCCTCCTCTCCAGATGTGTGATGTCTTGCACAGGATAAGAGATGACAGTCTTTCCTCTGTTCTTGCCAAACACACATCAGTGAATGGTCGAGTAGGGTTATAATGAACTCTTTAACTAGTACGAGCAGGGGTCCTTTCAAATTAGTAGTTCCAGCATCCCTTCAATGAGTGAACAGAGAAATATGTTTCTTCTTTCAAAACAGCAATTACAAAATACATGTCTTAGATCTGTGATAATTTTGTACTTGGAAAGTGAGTTATAGGAGTAAAAATATCTCTTAAGACATTAAGATCAAATTAAAACAGACTTGAATCAATGAAAGTGTTTTAACCATCTAATTATAATCTCTACAGAAATATGTAGTGTATCAATCACAAGGTCATTGAAGTGGGAATAACTGGCAGTGTTTGTGCAGTCCCTTTGAGACTGCTGCTCAAGTAAAGGTGTGTCTATCTAGGAAACCACAAAGTTGAAAGAAAGGAAGTCTGTTGCTTTAAAACTTTCTGCTATAAGGTTTTTGTCTCAGTGTGTTTCACATCTAGAAAATAAAGCAGGTTCGTGGACGAGAAGTGTGGTTCAGTGGGTAGGCCCCTTACTTATCATTCATGAAGACCTAGGTTTGGTCCCTCAGCACTACCTGAAATTGGATGTGGTATCTCATCCATATCTAGCACCTAAGAGGTGGAAAAAGGATTAGAAATTCAAAATCAGCTGTACGTTGGTGACACACACCTTTAATCACACTATTTGGGAGGCAGAAGCAGGTGGATCTCTGTGGGTTCTAGGACAGCCAGGGCTACACAGAGAAACCTTGTCTCAAACAAACAAACAAACAAACAAAACAAAACCCACAAAAAAGAAGTTCAAAGTCCTCCTTAGCTATGTCTTAAGTTCAAGGCTTGACTAGGATACATGAGACCCTCTCCCTGCCACAAAAAACAAAACAAACAAACAAAAATCACATTCTAAGTGCTGTTACTGAATATCCAGCCAATGATCATATTAACAATTTCAGGTGCTCCAAAATGACGTGTTAGCCCACCAGTCCACCGTGGAAGCAGTCAACAAAGCAGGAAATGATCTCATTGCATCAAGTGCGGGAGAAGAAGCAAGCAACCTCCAATACAAGCTCAAGATCCTAAATCAGCGCTGGCAGGATATTTTGGAAAAAACAGATGAAAGGAAGCAGCAGCTGGATAGTGCTTTGCGCCAGGTGAATAAACAGAATAAGCCCTAGACGTGAGTTGGTGTTCAAGCCCAGAGAAATGTGAGCAGGCCTCACGAACTCACACATAGATATTTAATGTGGATACTTTAAAGAGCGGAGTACAAATAAGTGGGATAACGAATAGAGCAGATGAGAAGGCAGCGCTCCAGTTCTTAGCCTAATACTCTTATGTCCTGAGCTTTCTTGGAGTGCTCAGGCAGTGAGCCACTGTCTGAGCCAGGTCCCGGCACCTGGCTTTCTATAGAGAAGGGTTTAGCAGGCTGGGGCCATTTTGACCTTGCTTGAAAGTGATAGTATTTGTGACACAAATGTAAAACTGGCTATCACTGCAGGCCAAAGGGTTCCACGGTGAAATTGAAGATTTGCAACAGTGGCTGACTGACACAGAGCGTCATCTCTTGGCATCCAAACCTGTAGGAGGTCTCCCAGAAACAGCCAAGGAACAGCTTAACTCACACCTGGTACGTATAGTATTTTCTACAGCCCTCGCCCTGGTGATACAGAAATAATAATGGAAGAACATACAGCTAAAAGACTAAAGTTTGGTGGCAGAAATCACCATGTATAAATGCTAGAAAATACCACTTAGCAATTAAAATTTTCAAGTCAAAAATCTATTTCTTTCAGAGGATAATATGCCAGCACATGGAAAAGGTTTAAAGAAGTGTAGCATTTTTGAGAATCTCTCTCACCCACGCATTTTAAGGATTATAGTAATACAGTGTTGCATAAGCTGTTATCAGTTATCTCCTGAAGTATGAACGAGCATTGCTAAAATAATCTGATGATTTAATAGAATTATAATTCATATAAAATCATGTGCCTGTAATCCTATGGTTCAGGCTTGCAGTTTTCTGCTGGGCAAGACCCATTTGCTCAAATGACAAAGTGGTCTTGCCTACTGGTTCATAACCTAAGAGTGCTCATCTTTTTGAAAACCCTGAGTGACTTTTCAAATAGTTTGTAACTTCCCTGGAAATTCTTACACAGCTTTCACATAGTTAATTACTCATTGACCAATTAATAATTAATTCTGCCTGCAGAATGTTATACTTTAAAAGAGTCTAAGAACTTGCAAGCAGAGAACTACTACATATGAAATGCTGAGTTTAGGTAGAATCAATGTAAACTCTGCATATAACTGTTTATGATTTCCTTGATTAAAAATTCCATGTTAAAAAAAAAAGGTCTGGAGAGCTATCCCGGCAGTAAAGAGTATCTGTTGTTCATGCAGAAGGCCAGGCCCCACTGCTCAGTACCTGCGCGACAGCTCAGCCTCCTGTACGCCTGGTTCCAGGGCATCAAGTACCTCCTTCTGGCCCCCTCGCGCTGCTGCTCACACGTGGTGCACGTGATGGCACGCATGCACACATAAACCCCAAACTAAATAAATCTTCTCTGATAGACTTTGAAGTGGTGCCATGGCCTCAGTTTCCTTTTGGTCTGGTTGTGTTAGAAACGAGGGTGAGAACAAAATTAAGTATTCGCCACCAGAGGCTGCTTTAGGATTTAATGCTTTTAAAAATGATAATATAAGTGTGCTTTATTTTCTTTTTTAAGGATAAAGAAATAAAGTTTTGAGCTGATGAAAATGTAGCTAGTAGTAGTGGTTAAACAGCATTGTAACTATACTCAAATCACTAAAGAGTGCACTTCAAGTGGTTAATTTTATAAAATTTATCTAGATTTTTTAAAAAAGTTACTAGGTTGAAAATAGCAGTATGATATAGAAGATAGAACTTTCCATAAGATCTGTGATTTAACCCACATTATAATTCAATCAATGTGAGAAAATTTGTCTTAATTTTTAATGAATTGTAACCATTGTTTTATTATACTTTGAATTTAAGCAGTATTTTCCTGTACTTACTATAGAGGAGATGCACAGCATTCTAGCTGGCATCATTTAAAATTTTTAAAATGAAAATGATATCTCAAATGTGGCTCCAATAATCTGGTAGTCTTTATATCAACTTGAGCACCTTTCTCCACTCTTTCTTTGTTGATTATACTCAGTTTAATTTTTTTTTTTTTTAGTTATTATATCATGGTAAAAGGGACATAGTTTCTCTCAGTTTACAGAGGAGGAAGTATACAGAAGTTAAATTGCTGACCCAGCATCACAGACCCGACCTGTTACTTCACAGCAGCAAGAGCTTTCTTGGCAGCGTGCTAATTTCTGCGTTAGACCTTAGCATACAGCGATAGATTTCTCAGCACATAGGGTGTAGCTATAAGCAGAGATGCTATTTCAGTATTGAGTAGAGCCTAGCTGTTTTGTCAGGGTTGCTCTGTAAACCAGAAAGACGAACGGCCTACAGTAGATGGACCTTAAAAAAAAAAAAGATCTTTTATGTAGAGGACTGTTTTAGCAATTCTGGGTTTCTTGTTATTCCATATGGAGTTGAGAATTTTTCTTACCAGGTCTGTAAAGAATTGTGTTGGTAATCTGATGGGAATTGCATTGAATCTGTAGATTGCTTTTGGTAAGATGGCTTGTGAATCCTGTCAAGCCATGAGTATGGGAGATCTTTCCATCTTCTGATATGTTGCTGAGGAGTCCCTGTCCCAACTCAGCCCCTGACACTGAGCATCTCCCTCACAGTTTCCATCCCAGACCCCCAGAATAGCACGAGGGGCCCAGGGAGCCCTACTCTCTTGAGTACCATCAATAAAGCTCACTGCACCCTCTGGGAACTGGACAGAGGGCTCGATGGTTAAGAGCACTCCTTGCTCTTAGGAGGGCCCAGGTGCAGTTCCAAGCACCTGTATGGCACCTGTATAGCAGCTCGAACTGTCTGTAAGTCCAGTCCCGGGCACCTGATGCCCTCACCCTTTTCTCACCTTCATAGGTACCAGGCATGCACATCACACAGTACACGTGCACACGTGCAGGCAAAGCACTCGTGCACAGTACAAGCACGTCTTTTTATCATTATTTAAAAAAATGTAACTATTAGGTTTTGTCCTTTGGCGACACATGTAACACGAAGGTATCTTGTTTTAGGAAGTCTGTAGTGCCTTTGACATCAAAGAAGAAACATACAAGAGTCTGATGCAGAGAGGACAGCAGATGCTTGCAAGATGCCCCAAATCTGCAGAGACGAATGTTGACCAAGACATAAACAACTTGAAAGAGAAATGGGAATCTGTGCAAAGCAAACTCAACGAGAAGAAAGTGCGTGCTTCGATCAGGATGACAGAACAGTGTTTGCGTGTTGTCGGTTCTTGGGTTCTGTTTTATTTCCAGCCATCGGGAGTGTAATTTTCATGATTCATGCCCATAGTTTTTTGCGTATACCTGGTGTTTCATGACGTTAAAAATTACTATTTCTAACCCAAGTGAACAGGGGCAGAGTACAGATAAAGATATATCACAGGTCAGGTATTGCTCAGTTTTTACCTCTGGTCAGACTCAAGTTGTAGGTTATGAATCATCGTATTCTAATCACACAATAAAGAACAGAGAATGATAGAATTCTGCTTATGTTTTATCCCTCACCTAGAACTGGTGAGAAGCCACTTGTAGTTTATGTTACAGTATGCATCTTAACCACCTTTTCAAACAGTAGAAAATAATCTAGGAAATCCAGGTAGTTTGGGCTGGTGAAACAGAAACAAATCGGCTAGAAACAGGTTATAGGCAAATCACTGGTGGAACCTACATTGCGTTCTCACAGGGCAGCAACGTCAGCTGACCAAGCTGAAACACAGCAAGCGAACTGCGGACGCCACATACTAAGTCATTTCCCTTTGCAGACTAAATTGGAAGAGGCCCTCCACCTGGCAATGGACTTCCACAACTCTCTCCAGGACTTCATCAACTGGCTCACCCAGGCCGAACAAACTCTGAATATGGCTTCCCGGCCAAGTCTCATCTTGGACACAATCTTGTTTCAAATTGATGAGCACAAGGTATGTCAGACCTCAAGTGAGAAGCCCCTGCCTTCCAGACCAGTCCGCCTTTACGTTAGAAGCGTCAATTTAGTAATTGGAAAGCTTTCCTTTTTTAATTTTTTTTTTAATTTCTTGGGAATTTTGTACACACATGCAGTGTATTTGATCACATTCACTCCCTGCTGTGTTTCTACTTCCTCCTGGGTCCGCCCCTCACCCTCCACCTTTTTCCTTGAACATAAGCATTACAACAGTTGTACATTATTTTAAGTCCATCCATTTCCCCTTGTTTCTGATTATGTTCTCTTTTTTTGTGGGAAAAGGTCTTTGCCAATGAAGTTAACTCTCACCGTGAGCAGATAATAGAGCTAGACAAAACCGGAACCCACCTGAAGTATTTCAGTCAGAAACAAGATGTCGTGCTCATTAAGAACCTGCTCATCAGCGTGCAGAGCCGATGGGAAAAGGTGGTTCAGCGGTTAGTAGAAAGAGGAAGATCCTTGGATGAAGCGAGGAAGAGGGCCAAGCAGGTAACGAAGCTGGCTGAGGGCCTCTGGCCTCCACACTGTGTGAGCCAGAGCTGTTGAAAGTGTGATTATAGCACTCGCATTGCTACGCCATGTAGCAAAAAGGAGCCATGGGGTTCATTTCCTGAAAGGGCTGTGGCCTGCCTTTGGACTTTAGGCATCATGCTTTCGTCCTGGCAGCCATGTTGGGCCACGAGGGCTCAATTTGAAAAACCATAAATAGCTCAACTTTATAGATGACCATCAGGCCAAAAATAAGTTTTTGTTTTGCGGTATGTTTCTTTTTCCCCCTGTCCTTTCATCCCGTTCTCCTACTCCAACAGGGACACCAGACCTTGTTATACTGTAAACTCTGTGAGCCAAACTTTTTCATCAACACCCCGCTTTCCCGTGCTGCCTGTTAACAGTCTTCATTTCTTCCCGAAGGTTGTGAGTTAGCTCCATCCCACTTGATATTGTCTGTGTCTCTGGAGGCTGCTTTTAATTGAATTTGGGGAGTCTGACAAACCCCACAGGGAGATTTCCATTCTCTCTTAAGCTGTTATTAACTGACGTTCATCCGAACCCCAGAGAAGAGGAAAATTACACATCTTCCTGCCTTGGGGTGGGGGGGGGACCACCTTACTTAGCAGAGATTTTTTTTTTTTTTTTAAGTAGAAACAGTATAAAATTGAGGCTGAGTTTTGTGATTTCTGCTTTTGCCTCAGTCAGCTTCCGTTGTCTGGCACTGGTGACGTTAGAGTCTGTTGTTTGGAGGGCCAGGCTCACCGGGTAGCTACTGAAAGGGTTTACAGGAGTCTGGCATGCTGGTCTTTAAAGCTATCGGTGTGGATGGAAAGGCTTTCGAAGGGTCCAGAGCCCTTGGGGTCTGAGCGAGGACTGTGACACCTCAGTGTCACTGTCTCTGAAGTAGAATCAGTCTCGAACGATTGTGTCAGACAATTGTGATTCTGGACCTGACGTGTCCCTCGCCACAAGTAGCTTTTGAGTTGTAAACAGCTAATCGACAGAGGCTTGTTGGATCCTAGAAGCTGCTTGCCGTTCCCGCCTCTGCCCAGCGTTACGTCTCATGTGGTTAACCAGCCCTCTGTCTTCCTGCTTCCGTGCACACGGATAGCATTTGCCCTGTTCCTGTGGCTTAAGAGTAGAGTTGGCGGTAGGATGACCTTCAGAACCTGCGGATTTCCAGTGCTTAGCAGCCCCGAGGTTACCACCCCTGTTCTAGAGCCAAGTTGCCCAGCACCTCCCCGGACTGCTCCTTTCGTTTCTTTCCTCTTCTGTCTGAGTTTTGACTCATGTACTGATTGTAGATCTCTGATGTTCGCCATCATGAATTTGTCTTAGCCTCATTTTTTTTCTTCACATTTCAATTGATCAGCACTGAGAGGGACGTGCTAGGCACGGAGGCCAAGTTCTTGACAAGCTGCTCTCTAGTGCACTCCTGTGACCCCGTGCCAGGATTGTGCTGCTATGACTCCGCAGCTCCTGTTACTCCGTTGTCAGTGCGTTTGGGCACACAGGGATCTCACCCTGGCTTCTTTAGCTTCTGTTACGCAGCTCCTCATTCACTGAGTCTATTATGAGGGATAGCGTTTAACCAGTTTCATAGCTTGTATCCAGGATTTGCAGCTGATTGCTCTTCTGTGAGATAATAAGCAGGAGGAGAAATAAAAACTGTGGCTGGAAACAGACATATGTTGACTCAGGAGGATTTCAAGCTCCTGGCTGGCAGACAGAGTTAAACATTGTTAGAATGCTGGCGTGGCAGTGCTGTGCATATCAGAGCGTAGTGGGTGGGTGGATGGGTCCCGACTGGGCTCTGGGAGGACAGAGGGTGGTAGACTACCTCGTGTGTTAAGGAGAAGACAGCCTTTCTTCTTGCCATGTCTGAAGAATCATTCACAAGAGTACTTTTCCTTTTATTCCATTTTCTTAACACAGGAGTTGAGCACAGAAGAATGTCAAGATGTGTAGAGACAGATGACCCAAACACATTTTTCTGAGAGTTTATGTTAACTACTGAGCAAAAGGAGGCAAAGGGGGAAGAGGGGAGCTCCCTAGAGCTCCTTAATTGTCTGCCTCTTACCTGTACTTAGAAAGCCGGTGTGGTGTGGAATGACAGTTGCATGACCTCAGCATGACCTCAGGCCACAGTCACACGTGTCCACGGTCACGGGTCGCTTTGCAATTTGCTAACGGAACATCACCCATTTTTCTTCAAGGGAAATTTCAAATTGATGATTTTTAGTATATCCATTGGTGGTTGTTTCTGTTTTATAGTATGCTGAATTTCAAACATTGTGTGTGCGCCACAACTTTCTGGATAAATGTGGGTCTCTTTAACAGTTCCATGAAGCTTGGAGTAAGCTGATGGAATGGCTGGAAGAGTCAGAAAAATCTTTGGACTCTGAACTGGAAATCGCCAATGACCCAGACAAAATCAAGACCCAGCTGGCCCAGCACAAGGTGAGCCTCTCCTGTAAAGAGCACACTCCCTGCCCATTTCAAGGCCACTGGTAATTCTTTCCTGTTTGAGTGTGTATTCATCGAAAGACGGGGGGGGGGGGTTGCTGCCAGTTCCTAAAATAAAGCATGAAACTAAAACTGATGTCCCTTCTGCAGTCTAGAACATACTAAGGGTTTTGATTGTTTGAACACTGCCCTTTCAGCTTTTCATGGCAACTCCCTTAGCAGTTTTGAGTGGAACAGTCCCACCTTGGAGATAAATCTGGAGTGTAAGGGACAGAGAGCCAGATGCAGTGATTGGTTCCTCTGGTCCTAGTTGCATGGGAGCCTGAGGCAGGTGGAGCCACCGTACCGAGGAGGAAGGGGAGGGGGAGGGAGAGAGTGAGGAAGAGGAAGAGAGAGAGATTTTATTCCTTCTCTTGAAGAAACAGTTATCAGCTTCCTTGTGAGATTAAAATAATATAGAAACAAGATTTCAAAGAATATTTTCCCTTTTACACTCCTTCCACTAGTCATTCAGAGTACCTTTCTGCCTCCTGTGCTCAGCTCCTTTGTACCTCTGCCTCTCTGTTACAAAGTGGCCGCCGGTCGATCATACAGAGAAAGGTGTGGTAGGAGCAGCTGAGCGTGATTTCTGGGAACAGTTTTACAAGTTCAGACCTCTACGCATATATAAATCACTGCTTAGAACATGGTGATTTTAAAAGGCTAGAAAACTGCGGGATAATTAAGTTTTACCATCTTCGGAAAATCTGAGCATCGTCTTCACGTGTGTTCTGTGGAATCACCCAGAGGGTGGTGACCAGAGGCTGATGGGAGGAAACCTATGTGCCCTGGGCTAGATGAGGCTTAAGACTGACCTCTTTTGCTCTTTGCTGCTTCTTATGAGCTGCCACAGTGGCCAGAATCATCTATACCCCTGATGGAAAAAATCAGTCCCCTGCTCAAAGCGAAATGCCTTATTTGAATTTATGCATGGATATTATATAATCTTATGAAGGTAACATTGCATTTTAAAGCTAGAGAATCCCAGGAAAAAAAAAAAAAGGAAAGAACATGCAGAGAATATTAGAGTCTCTGTTTTACTCAGTGTTTGTTGTTAGAGCTACCGTTTCTCCAAGGCACTTCTTAAGGCAGTCCAGGAAACCAATTTTAAAAGAAAACTTTCCTAGCAGCATCTGAGGTCTTCTGTCCTTAGAAAACTCTAGTCTGTCCGTAGTCCAATAGACTGTTTAGTTTGTATCTACTGTGTGGAGAAACTCCATGTCAATCCTTTGGTTCTAAACACAGGGATTCTGTTCAGAATAGCATGAAAACAGCCTTCACTGCTAGCAAGCTGTTGAAAGAGTGGGGTGCTATAAGTGTGTTATTACTTAAAATTTTCCTAGAGTGGTTACCCCCTGTTATTAGACAAAATAAATAATTTGGTCACCTTAAAATATTTAAAGTGTAACTATTAAAATAAAAATTAACTGGGTAGTTGTAACCTTAATATTATAACCAATTATATATAACCAATATCTCAGTATATATAACCAATCATCTCAGAGGATAATATTATGACCAATTATAACTTCCCAATCTGGTATGATCCCAATGCACTGCCAGCATTGAGAACACTTGCAGTCCGTGACCTTAGCGAGTGTGAGCTGAGTTGACCTTTCTTTCTTTCGTTCCTGAGATTGTATCTTCAGTGGCAGTGGTCTCATTTTTCTGCTCTTTTTGTAAATACTTACAAAAAACCCTGCTAGCCTAGGAAATGGTGCTGAGAGGCCCACTCTGTCCTGGTTCTGTAAGTACTATTGAGTTGTATAGAAAGAATATAATTCTCTTCCCCACACACGTAAATCCATAACCATGAAAGTCATAGCTAACAGGTGAAGAATGGTACCGTATAGCTGTCACATTAGCACCATAGCTACCTGATCCTGGGGCTGGAGAGAATGAATGGATATAGATTTTCCCGGCGGTCTAACCGACTGACCCTAGAACGGCAGTTCTGGCGTCCTGGCTCACGGACAGATTACCTGTGTCCTTAGTGTGAATATCCACATTGGGTGACAGTAAGGATGTGTGGCAACAGCAAACCCTGTGGTGGGAAATCTGCGCCATCCAGTCACTCTGTCTGCTCTGGGCGCGTGCACGTTGTCTGGCAGTTGCATTTTAATACAGCTCCTACAGTCTGTGGTTTATGTCTCCAAAAGCGTTGGGGGTGTTGGAGGCCTCACGTGACTTGCCTACTGTGCACAAGGCCCTGGTTTTAGAAATCTTCGTCCACCCAGACAAAAAGAAGATTTAGGATTTGATTTGCCGTGAATTATTTTCTCGATAATAACCGATACGCTATGGTCACTGAGCTTCTAAGAGAAAGAGCAAACCCTCAGTTGTCAGGATTTCAGATTGTGTTCTGCCCTGGGACATTCCTGCGTAGAACAGAGCTGTTCCTTGGGCTTGCTGGCTGGCTGGGGTCTCCCGTTGCCAGCCCCATTTGTTAGAGATGCCTCTTCAGAAGAAAACGATCTGTTAAAATGGCGTTGATTTATACAGTGCATCCTGGCCATACTCACACATGCACCTTCCCTCATCCTCCTCCCACCAAGTCTCCTTCACCTGTTCCTTCTTTTTTTACCTTTGTGATCCACTGGGCTTAACAAGGACGTGAGTAGCCAGTGGATCATGAATAACTGACCATTTATATCACTAAAGACAACAGTTCCCTCACCCCAAATAGTGTCCCTCTCTACCAATAACTGCCCTAGGCTGGGGCAGGCTTCATGGGCCCCTCCCCCACCTGTGACTGACTAGTGTACATTTCGGGTTTAGCCTTATGCAGATCCTATGTAAGCAGCTGAAGCTGCTGTGAGTTTATGCGTGTCACGGCTTAACATACCCAGAACACAATGTCTAATGACCCGCTTCCTAACTGGCCAACTCTCGGATTCTTTCTGCCTCCCCCCTCACGGTTTCTTTGGGGGCTTAGAGTGGGTCACATGCATCTCGCACGCTGCAGTACCAGTCTGCCAGGCGAGGTCTGCCTGGTGGTGCAGTAGTGGCGTGACCGTTACAGCTGGAGTAACCAGCTGAGGGGGATCTGATCTGATGTGTGTTGCCAGGAATCTGGTCAAAGGTCCATGGCGAGGGAGGTCATAGACAGAAAAGATGAACATACTACTTTAGTTTCATGAAATGCATGTCAAAGTGCCTCCTTAGTATTTGCTTACACGCAAGGGCCGGTGGGACTCTCGGCCTCAAGCAAAGACGCTTCTCTTTGCGGTGGACAACAGTTAATACAGAGCGTTAATACTTCACAGCTGGCCACGATGCTGACAGCAAGTGACTGAAGGCCGGGCCTTAAACAAGATCCTGCTTTTGATACTTTTTACCTATTTCTTCAAGCAGAATCTTAACTCTTTTTTTTCTTTTCTTGTTAAATATGTAGGAGTTTCAGAAATCACTCGGAGGTAAACATTCTGTCTATGATACCACCAACCGAACTGGGCGTTCTCTGAAGGAGAAAACCTCCCTGGCTGATGACAACCTGAAGCTGGACAACATGCTGAGTGAACTCAGGGACAAATGGGACACCATATGTGGAAAGTCTGTGGAAAGGTAGGCTACTCTGGCCGTTGGTGACTGCGCACACCTGCCTCACATACACAGTTTGTGGAGCTCAGAGACCTCTTTGGGTGAGGAAAATCTGTTTCAACTAGGGCTACTTGCTTTTACTAGGTCTCACGCTGTGTTCTAGTGGCCCCTCAACTCACTGTGTAGCCAGGGCCACCCTCGGACTTGCAGTGATCCTCCTTTCTCAGCTTCTTGCGTTCCAGGATCACAGGCAGTGATTTTGCTCTTTTAATTTGCATATAACTAGTAGAATAGTCACATGAAAATATAAGTGAAAGCCTTATCATTTCTCTTTCTCACCCCCTGTAGGAACTTGATTTTGGATATAAAATAAAATAGGCTCCATAACATGGCCCGCAAGCAGCCCTGCCCTGCCCAGTATTCCTTCAGGCTTCCTCTTCCTCTTTCCCACTGATTTTTGTGGGGCCCCAAGGTTTCACTTTAAAACTATAAGTATTTAATAAAGTACAATAATTGTATAAAAGTTCAAACATCCTGTATTTAGGGGTTTTTTTTTTTGTTTTTTTGTTTTTTTGTTTTTTTTTTTGTGATCCTTAGTTCTAGTTACTTTTGTCAGAAAAGTTCAGTATCCTAATCCAAAATGCTTGAGAGCAGAAATACTCAGGTTTGGGTGTTTGTTTGTTTGGTTTTGTTTTGTTTTTTCCTTCAGATTTTGAAATATTTACATGTATGCCATGAAATATCTTGAGGGTAAGACTCTAGTCTAAACTCAAAATCCATGTTTCATATATCCCTTACATATGTAGGTAGCCTGAGATAGTTTATTTTTATTTTTTTAGTTTTTAACAAAAGAAAGTATTTAATTGGGCTTACTATTCCAGAAGGTTAGAGTCCATGATGGTGGAGCAAAAGCATGGCAGCAGGAACAGCTGAGAGCTCACATCTCAGACCACAGACGAGAGGCAGAGAGCACCCTGGGTAAATCTTTCAAAGCCTCAGGGCCCACTCCCAGTGACACACCTCTCTAACCAAGCCACACTTCTAACGAAGGCACGCCTATTACTCCTTCCCAAACGGTTCTACCAGCTGAGGACCAAGTATTGGAGCATAAGAGCCCGTGAGCTCCGTTGTCATTCAGTTCCATTCAGACCATTTTATTCTGAGGGGACAACGAAGGCAGTCTGCTTTGCTGGGACAACGAAGGCAGTCTGCTTTGCTGGGCAGAAGCCCTGATGTAATCCCAGGTGTCAGTCCTTGTTCTCTACTTCTTTCGTCCTATCTGGGAAATCCACCGCACCAACAGCCTGAAGTATTTTTTCCTTACGTCTTATTTTAGCTCCAGTGTGGTTTTACTCAGGATCCCTGGGGGATATATGCTGTCTTTTGTGCTTGCACGTGATTTGGGGATGTTTTCTCCAGTTCTACAAAGTTATTCTTGGTATTAAAGTTACCCACTGTTACAGTGGGGCCCAGATCTCATTTTTGTGTCTAGTGGTGTTTTGCTTCTATAAAATCGGGTGCTGTTCCAGCACTTGGCATATAAATTTCTATCTCTTTGTGATTTTCTTCAAATAGCTTCAACTATAGTTTGTGTATTTCTTCCTATTTATCTTGTACATTTGATGTTTGCTGTATGAGAGGTATTTCTTCCTTGTTGGAGTGTTTCTTTTTCTAATATTCTCAATGATTATATTTACTGAATCCTTTCTCTGTTTCTGGGCACAGGATTCCCTTAAGCCTTTTATCCTTATCACAGAAGGTCCTTACCTCTCCTTTGACTGTGAAGGACAAACCTGCTGGGTACAGCAGCCGTGACTGGTGGTTGGTTTCTCTCAGAACCTGAAATACACTACTCCATGCCCTCCTGGCATTTAGAGTTCCTTCTGAGAAACCCTGCTGTTAATCTTCTGTATTTCTCTTTTAATGTTCCTGGACAATACTTTCTTGCAGATTGGAATATCCTTTCATTGTCCCCTACTTTTAACAACTTAAATGTGTTATGGTGATGCACTTCTGAGGTCATGTGTGTTTGAGGTTCTAAATGCTTCTTGTGCCTGGATACTCCGATCCCAGGCTTTGGGGAGCTTTCTACTGTTTCAGCGAACTGGTCTTCTGTGCTCCAGCCTGTAGTTCTTCTTTCTCAAGTATGCCAGTGACATGCTTTTCAGGGTATCCCAGAGCTCTTACATCTTCTCTCCATGCTTTTCTACCTCTCTTTTATTCTTACTGTTAGATATGAACAATTCGAAAGACCTGCCTTCAAGAGCTGTTGGTTTTTTCTTTTCTTCTGCCTAGTCTAACTGTTCCTGAGGATTCCAACTAGTTTTCCTTATATTTCTGTGCTGAGAATGATCCGCCTGCTGGGATGGGTATCTTTTGTGGCACCATGTGATAACCCCCTTAGTGATTTTTCTCTTGATAACTTGTCTTCGGAGGTGTCAGTCCTGGTTTTGACTCACTTCACAGATTCTCTCATTCTTGTCACAATCTCCAAGGCTACTCTCCCACCATTTCTTCCTCACAGGATCCCAGGGCCTCAGAGTGAAAATTAGAAAGCCATTGGTTTTGTTTGTTTGTTTTTGTTTTTTAATAAAAGCATGTATGGTACAGAGTTTTATAGAGTGAGATTCGGTAGCATGTTAGTGATTTGGGAAATTTTCAATTTTGAAGTTTGGATTGTAGATTTTCAACCTGTGTCGAGACGAACTGGAGTTCTCAGCTCTGGCAGCTTCACACATGAAGAAAATAATCTTTTAAAATAGAACTTGCATATATTTATTCAGACTCTAGAAGGGCCAGTGATTTACAAAGATGAGGTTGAGGAGGTTTTCCCATGACAGATGCCACGTGTGTATCTAAAGGCCCAAAAGAGAGTTTGCTAAGGAAAGCGGGGGGAAGTCTGGAGACAGCCTCCTCCTCTTCCGTTCCACTAGCCATCATGGGGAACTTCAGAAGGCTAATCTGCCTCCTTCTCCCCCCTCAGACAAAACAAGCTGGAGGAGGCCCTGTTGTTTTCTGGACAGTTCACAGACGCCCTGCAGGCCCTCATTGACTGGCTCTATCGAGTTGAGCCCCAGCTGGCAGAAGACCAGCCTGTCCACGGAGACATTGATTTAGTGATGAATCTGATCGATAATCACAAGGTACCGGGAACTTTGTTTCTGTTGTGTTGTTCGGTTCTTGATTCTGAGCGTTGAGAAGGACGTGTGGCGGAGCAGATCCAGGGGCCGTCTTCAGAAGCAATGGGGGCAAGTCAGTCGCCAGAATACTTTCCTTTTACTCACCCGCTCTCTGTCTGTTTTAGAGTAATTTCATTTTGTGGTCCTTTTGGGAGCAGGGCTTCATTCAAACGCTTATGCAGTGAAACTTAAAACCATTCATTCTGTGATGTGGAAAGAAGCCACCTTCTAGGTGTGCAGATGCTGGACCCTCCCTCCCAAGGGGTCATGAGTAGATCCTCTGCTTGTGGTAATATATGAGTTGACAGCATGTGCTCAGAGATTTATTTATTTTTAAAAATAGTTTTCCTCTTGATTTTCTAATGGGCTTGTAAATTAAGGATATATTTGAGGTTTCCAGCTGGTGGTAAGTATTAGGTCTTAATTCTGTTTTTATTTAAGTGCATAATTTTATTATATGTGCATGTTGGGGGGGGCAAGGGGCTGGGTACCCTCAGAGGCCAGAGCAGTGTGTCAGGTCTGTAAAGCTGCCATGAGCCACCTGCCATGGGTGCTAGGAACGGAACTCAGGTTCTGTCAGGAGAGAAGAAAACCTTCCTAAGCGCTGAGCCAGCTCTCCAACCCCAAGACCTTAATTTATGATCCAGCAATATGCTGCAACCTGGCAGGCCTCCAGAAAAGCACGAAGCATGGCTGACACACCAAGAGTTGAATTTATTTACCTGACTTCCTAATCTGTTTCCCTGCTTTGATATTGACTTCAGAGAAACACACGTGTGCTTTTTTAATGCCCTCTCCGTGCTTCTTCGGTTATGCCGTTCCGAGGCGCTTGGTCTTCTTAGACTGTTGTTTGTACTTTTAAAACATGTTTGGATATTTGTTTCCTTTTTTGATTCTTGTCTGTGGTTATACCCGTAGAGAAGAGTTTATTATACTGAACACTGACAGAAAATAAAAGAGTAAATAAAGCGCATGCTGAGGGTGTGCCTCAGCTGGTAGAATGCTGGCTTAGTGCGTGCAAAGTCCTGTGCCCAGCGTGGCGGCTCACCCCTTTCATTCTAATGCCGGGGAGGTGGAGGCAGGAGGAGCTGCAGTTCAAGGTTAGTTTGTGCCATGAGATTCTGTGTCTGATAAAGAAATTAGAGAACGTTGGTCAGGCCCACAATGCTTTGCCTCTGGACCAAAAAGAATGACCTTGTGCGGTGAATTAGGCGTGTCCAGGTACTCCCTCAGGGAATAGTGGGTGCTGGGATCTTGCGTGGAGCATAAACCACATTGGTAAGTTACTGCCTAGATATTTACTACCAAAAAGTCGCATCAAAGACTCATCAAATATGAATTATTACACATCAAAAACTCATCAAATATGAATTATTACACATCAAAAAACTCATCATATATTAATTACTCATTGAAGATTAGTAATGTAGTTGGAAGACTCCAAAATTTAACTATATAAAGAACGTTGGAAAATCTACTTTGAAACTACTGGATAGTCCTGTCATGAGCGAACATGTAGCTATTTTCCCTCCTGTGTGTATTGATAGTGGCCATGTCTGTCTGGCTGCATACCTCTGAGCACTGTTAGGCTGGCACCTGTTTCACTGTTCGCTACATTCTGCTCAGATTGTTTTGGATAAGCTCCCTTCAGAGGTGATTTAAAAAAAAAAAAAAAAAACACTAGAGGAACTTCATTGTAGATTTAAAAAACTAGTTTTCCGAATATGTAGTTTTATATACAGGTGCTAGATTAAAAATGAAGAGCCCTGGGCTCAACTTTACTCCTTAGAGTGGCCCAAAGAAACCATTCTCTTTAATGGCACATTACTTTTAAAGTTACCTAAATGAAGAGGGGCAGATAGGAGAGCCCAGCGCCTTTCCTCTGAGATGACAGGTAATAATTCAGTCCTCTAAACTCGGAAATCATGGGCTAATCCCTGAGGTGCTGTGGGGAAAGGGCTTGTTAAAGAAGGAAGGCCCGCATAGCTGGATTCGATTCCTTGTTCTTTCTAGAGCCCGTAATGTGCACCAGGCTCGCTCAGTCTGTCTCTGAAGCTTGTCTCTCAGAATAGCAGTGAGCCAAGCTACATGTTGTGGCAGCACGCTAACGACATGAGAGGAACCAGGATTCTCTACTATGTGACTCAGAGAGAAAGGGAATTTGACGTTGTGTGTGTGTGCGTGTGTGTGCATGTTTGTGTAATTGAAATTGAGAAGGCTGGTCACCATCATCTAAATCTCATATATCTCATTTAAAACATATTTCCTTATGATAATGTCACTGGGTATAAACAAAATCTATCCAGTCTTAAGTTCTCAGAGAGGAGCCATGAGTTTTTTTCTACCTTGTGAAGATTCTGTCAAAAATACGGTCACTAAAAACCATGGGCTATAGGTGCATGTATGTGCTGCTTTGTGTACATATATGTATTACAGTGATGCATTTTCGATATTTAGTTCCTGTCACCAAAAGTTAGCTGTGGTAAAAGTTAACATGGTTTCCTTAGGTCTTCCAAAAAGAGTTGGGGAAGAGGACCAGCAGCGTGCAGGCGCTGAAGCGCTCTGCCAGAGAGCTCATGGAAGGCAGCCGGGATGACTCCTCCTGGGTCAGGGTCCAGATGCAGGAGTTAAGCACCCGCTGGGAGACTGTGTGTGCGCTCTCCATATCGAAGCAGACGCGGCTAGAAGCAGCCCTGCGTCAGGTAAAACCCGTGTAAACGAGAGCTGGGAGTTATGGGTGACATCCCGGAGCCGCAGCAAGGCAGCCAGAGGGTCCAGTCCTCATCCCGGCCCTCATCCCGGACGGTCATGGGGGAAGTCTAGTCTGTCTCAGAACTGACTGGACCCTTTCTTGCTGCTCCTCCAGGGGGTTTCAGGTACTTAGCAGGGGTATTTGCTACTCTCTGCTTAGTCCCAATAGCTGCCCCTCATGGACTACTAACCTGCAGGAACAGTGAACGAGGCTTCCTGGAGGCCTTCCTGATGTTTTACATCTCTCCTTATATTTGCAAAGTGTAGCAACATACGTCCATCCCTATCCTCTTAATGGGACTAGGAGCTTGACTTGAATTAAGACTCTTTCATTGGGAGGGTGTGTGCAGTTGGGTAACGGCCACTGACGGGTGTGCGGGGAAACCCTCCTGTGTGTGCTGTTAGGCAGAGGAGTTTCACTCTGTGGTCCACACGCTCTTGGAGTGGCTGGCAGAAGCAGAGCAGACCCTGCGCTTCCATGGTGCGCTCCCCGATGACGAGGACGCCCTCCGGACCCTGATTGACCAACACAAAGTGAGTAGCTTCCCGCTGCTGAGTAAAACAAATTAGACGCTCAAGAAGGGAAAGAGAAGAAGCCCGAGACTGCACGTAGCAAGTGCAGCGGGTTTTTTGTTTTGTCTTGTTGTTTTCCTTCCTGAGCTAAAAACTAACCATCTGGTGCAAGTGAGACTGTCTCCACCCTTCCTGCTTCCCCACCTGTTCACATACACCTATGCACCCGGGTAGGTAGCTGTCTTCTAGGGTTTCCTTTTGAAAGAAGGTGGTCACGGTAGAACTAGACACTGTTTCCTGTCTCTAGGCTGCACAATGATTTTCCTAGAGGATCGTTTGACTTCTGACCAGAGTTAGTCCATTTTTGTCACAGTTGCATGTGTATTTCCTTAAGGAGCAGCTCAGCATTGGCAAAATATTCCACTAGAATTGCATAGTAATAATTTCTACATTTATATGCAAAATAAGCAACTCATTTAAAGTGTTAAATTACTAGTCGTAGGCCTGTTGCACTTTGGGGGCTTATTTGATTTAACAGGGTTGTCTTGGGTGTTGCATGGACTACCATTCACTCATGGAGGTCAGAGGGCAACCTGCAGGTGTCTGTTCTTGCCTCAGGTCAGGGGAGGCTTCAGGCTCAGTCCACTCACCGAGTACTCTCTGGGCCCAGTTCTCATCTCCACTTCTCATTTTTAATCAAGAACCTTATAAAAAGAAATCCCGCAAGAACTAACCTCTACTACATATTATAAATTTAAAGCATTAAGTGACTAACCAGGCAGGAGTGTGGCCCTTGAGTTACCAAGCCAAGCTAAGCTCTTGTCTGTAGCCGTGCTTGGAACTTGGAAAAACCCTCACAAGAGTGGTCCACATAACAGATGTTTTTTAACCTCTGCCTGGAAAAGTCAGGAATTTGCAATGCTCACACACCCCTCAGTGTGGACATCGGCACTTCCGATTAGCCTGAAAGATTTTTTTTTCAACACCACTTAATAACCTTTCCCCTCAAGGTCCTGCTGGAAGTGCATCATCCTAGTGAACCGCCTGTTACATCATGTGCTTCTGACTTTACTGCCCATCCTCAAAGAGGAGTTGGCTGACTGTGGCCAGGAACAGCCTTGCTGTTAGTGGCAGCCGTGCAGGCATGGCTGGAAGATCGATGTGCCTCGCACACTGTCTACGGGGGAAGCTGAACTGTAAGAGCAGGAAAAGTATGTCAGGCTTAGGTAGATTTTAGGCTGAGCTCGGTATATAGAAGCCTCGTTTGTATCTCTGGGCGGACAGCCAGCCAGGATCAAATCCTACACCACATGGAAATTCTTACTGATTTTTTATAACCCTGACAGTAAGTGAACGTCACCAAACCCTTGTGCTCAGCAGGGGCCAACAGCTGACTGAAGTGTTTGCTCTCCTGCAGGAGTTCATGAGGAAACTGGAAGAAAAAAGAAGTGAGCTAAGTGTGGCCGCTGGCATGGGTGACGCTCTTTTGGCCATCTGCCACCCCGACTCCATCACCACCATTAAGCACTGGATAACAATCATCCAGGCCAGGTTTGAAGAGGTCAGTGTGCCTTCCACCATCCCTGGCAGCGGAGCCTGTGAGCGGGGGCAGGGGAGTGCGAAGTTTCAGCAGTAGAGACAGACTTAGAGCTTTGGGAAGGGAGGCCGTCATGAGGTTACCCCGAGCGAGCGTCAGCCCCTGAAGGAGCCTTTGGCCAGAAAGGTTTCAGGATCCGCAGCTGCGTCCGTGAGCCCTTACACGGCACAGGATTGGTTCTCTGGAGGTTTTGTCCCACCTGTCCACCATGTCTGCTCAATAAGGTGGCGCTGGAGAGGGTCTGGGGGCCATGTGTACTTGTGGAGTGAACTGAGGAACAGCTTCTGTCGGTGAAACTGTGCTGAGTGGGAAGAGCTTGCGTGAGCTGTGTCTCTTCACCAGGTGCTGGCGTGGGCAAAGCAGCACCAGCAGAGGTTAGCAGGGGCTCTGGCTGGGCTCATCGCCAAGCAGGAGCTGCTGGAGACATTGCTGGCGTGGTTGCAGTGGGCCGAAACTACACTTAGTGAGAAGGATAAGGAAGTCATCCCACAGGAGATTGAAGAGGTGAAGACCCTCATTGCAGAGCACCAGGTAAGTGAACTTGGTCCTCACCTGTTTTCACTGTCACCTCAGGTGTCCTCTCTCTTCCACCACAGGGCTTCTCCAGCGTATTATTTTAGACCAAGATAAAGGGTCTCTTGTTCTGCAACTGCCCTGCAGCTTGTCTCTTCCGGGCACCTCTGGAGCGCTCTGTCGCCTTCTTTGGAGCGCCCTTCCGCCACCTGTAGGCTCCTGACTGGGTCCTAACTCCTGACCTCAGCTCTGCCCTTTTCTCCATTTCATCCTTAGCTCCGTTATGTCAGCCCACTGCCTCCCTCCCCTTGGGAAATCTCATCTCACTGCTGTAGCTCTGCCTGGCATTTGCTTTATTGTTTCATATTTGCATTTCCCTGCTTCCTCCGGTGACCAGCCATGAATATTCCAAGTGCAGCCTGCTTAAAAGGGCATGCATTTCCTCTCTCAGCGACTCCTCACCCTGTGTGCCTTACCTGATCTAAGCTCTGAAGCAGGGCACTGTATGTGCTCTGATCCACAGCCTGTTTAACTAATGGAGCTGCAGAGATGGCTCAGAGGTCACGAGCGCGCAGTAACCCACGCTGCTCACCTCCCAGCCAACTGTAAATTCAGTTTCAGGAGCCCCAGTGCCGTCTTGTGGCCTCCGCAGGCATTGAACACGGGTGGGGTGCATACTAACAAACTGGACCACACACACATCCAGCCACATGACCAGAAAACAGAATTTAAAAATGTTAAATCCATTAACGGTGCCTATAGTAGCCCAAAGCATCCCAGGTTATGTTCCGTGTGGCCAGGAGTTATCAGAGTGGCTCAGGTTTTCCAACATGATGAACGTTCCAGACCCATGTTGCCTCACTTTTCACCGCAGCCTCTGCCTTTCCTCCACCTTTGCCACATACCCAACATGTAGGGATCAGTCAACAACAAGAAGCCAAGGAGACAACGAGGAATGGCAGGATACCAAGCCTTTTAAACTTAACTACAGTAAAGGTTAACTCAGGCCCTTTAAAGTCGATGCTTGTGACCACTGGGTACATACGTGGTCAACACGGCCATCCTCTGCAGCTGTGCACAGTCATTTAAGTGTTTAAACTGTGAGGGTGGAATGTTCCACGGCAGGAAAATGCTCACTAAAATCCCTGGTGGAAGAGCTTTGCAATTCAGGCTTAGTTGGTGCAGATATTTAGGACCACTAGCTAGTGTTGTTTTTCAAACTGAAAAGTGACAGTTTGTTTTTTAATTTGAATTTGCTTTGGTCAGGTGTGATGTTTTACATTCTTTGGAAATCAGTAAAAGCACTGACTAGTACAGTCTTGTAACATGATCCCTTAAGAGTAACAGCACAGTCCTTTCATCCTGGGTTTTTGTTCATCCCTAATGTTGATTTAATCTGTACATTGATTTAATTGACATCCTCTTCCCTTCAGACCTTCATGGAGGAAATGACCAGAAAACAGCCCGATGTTGATAAAGTCACCAAGACCTATAAGAGAAGAGCTGCCGATCCTTCCTCACTACAGTCTCACATTCCCGTCCTGGACAAGGGACGAGCCGGAAGTAAGCAGGGCAGGGTCTAAAAACAAAGATGGCTGACCAAGCCACTTCCCTTTCCTTTTGAATTATTGTTGGAAATTAGAGAGAAAGTAGCTATGCCATGAAAGCAGTCTGCCTTAAAAGGTTCTCTGAAAGAAAATGTGGGCCATAAGTATTTATCTTTTTTTTTTTTTCAAGTAAAAAGCTATACTGAGGTGCCTGTGTTTAACTTTGTTTAAAGTATACTGTTCAGATTCTAAAAGAAATTGGGGAGAGTTATAGGAATCTAAATCATCACACACACACACACACCCCGGCTTGGACCTGGTCCATTTTCCTTCTATTGTATAAATATCACAAAAGCAAACAACAGAAACTGATCTGGGTGAAGAACAGCTGACCCTGTTCACGCTCCTCTGGCTGTGACTCTGTTTACTGATCTCCCGGTCAGTCCTAACCCACCAGATGGCATTCAGAACGGTAGCAGTTAGGTCGGAGAACGTTGACCAGTACTATCTACATCGTACAATTTGTATGTTTTTAAACGGTGTCTTGGTTTGGTTTGGTTTGGTTTTAAGCGGGAGTAGAGCCACTGTAATTACTTTGCCACAGGGAGACCGGGCAATTGTGTAGCTAACAGTGCTGGAGGCGCCTTGCTGTCCCCACCACCAACCAGCTGAGAAGCCTCATGTTGAAGGAGACGCCTCCTTCTCAGCGAGGCTCTCCTGTCTGCAAAAGAGGGTGCTTTGTAACGTCTTTGGACGAATTGAGCTAGCCCTCATGGAGCACACGTTCAAGCACGTAGCTACCCTCAAAAACCAGAGCCTGGGTGCAGTATGGATAAAGGGCAGTCATTTTTCTAGGCCACACCTAGCCCTACTTAGGTAGGGAAAATGCCCTGTGAGCATTATTTTATGCAACTGTGGAGACTTGTGAAAGCAGCCAGAAAGTGAGTGTGGGTGTGTACGCAGGAGAGGAAACATACAGGCCTGGTAGAGAATAGATGTGGGACAAGGTTAGGACCTGCACATCTTCTTGGCTTGGGTGTCGTTCTGAAGCATCCAGCTCTAGTTCCGGGGCCTGCCACGTTTCAGCCCTGTGCTCTAAGAAGGGCAGGTGCCTGTAACCTTCTCTTAATACGTCTTACCACAATGCCTCATCATTGAAGTGGCACGAATGTACGTAGGGAAATATTGGAAGCGTTAAGTTTGCAGTTTTCGGTATTTAACGGGCTCCATCGAGATAGCATTTCTGCAGTGCATAAGATCAGAATGCGAACCTTAGTAAGAATAGCTAGGTTGGAGTGATTTTCCATGCAGTACACAGAAGTTAAAGTTGGCGTTGTCTAGGAGCCAAAAGCCCCTCCCTCATCTCAGTGCCCATCAGCACACAAGCTGCTTTGCCATCTGACTGGAGTTTTATTTTAACAGGGAAACGCGTCCCGGCATCGAGCCTGTATCCCTCTGGGTCACAGACACAGATCGAAACCAAGAATCCCCGGGTTAACCTGCTGGTCAGCAAATGGCAGCAGGTCTGGCTCCTGGCGTTGGAAAGGCGGCGGAAGCTGAATGATGCCCTGGACAGACTGGAGGAGGTCTGCAGAAGCTTGCATTTATCTCTGCGTTGTCTCTTGGTCTTCATTTTCTGTGCTGCGCTGCACAAAAGCATGATTTTCTCTCACATAAGCAAATCCTTATCATCCAAGTGCTGTTTCTCTCCTGAAAGAAACACTAAGATTGTGCATGTTTCTGTAAGAAACGGGTCTGCGGGATTTGGATGTCGGGATCCAAAACCTAGAAAGCTTACATTTCAACTGGCTTGCTGATCTCTGAGAAAGGCTTTCTAACTGGGCATGTCTGCTGCCAGCTCCCCCTGGTGAACGCGTCTGTTACCATATGTACCCTGTGGCGGAAGGCTTCTCTTTGTTATGTTGTGAAAATTGGAAATGTTAGATGTCTAAGCAGACAGGGGTGGCTGACAGGACAGAGGGGCAGGGTACACACACGCCTAGGCCTGGGCTGCACTAAGCCTCTACTGGCGCTCTGGACACACCTCCGTGAGCAGCTTTCAATCTGAAGGTTTTATTTGCAAAGAAGAATCAGTGATGCGGTGAGATAAACCTCGTAAGAAGTCATTTGTAAGGTCACGTCTTGGTTTGACGTGGGAGAGATGTGTACCACCGGGAGCCTGTCATCAGCAGCTCGATTGAGCCAGCAGAAACCAGAATGTGATGTTCATACTCATACGCATAAATACTGAGTTATTTAATGAAGTTGTGAAAAAAAAAAAAAAAAGGTTAAAAATAGCAGAAACATGAAGTCGTGGGAGGGTCTGGGGGTATATGATAGTTGGAGGGGAAAATGTGAAATTGATATTGTGGTATTTCATTGTGGACTTGTATGAAGTTAAAGAATAAGGACAAAGGTTTAAAGATAGTTGGAGCCCACAGCACTGACTCGGCCAAAACTTTTACCCTTTTTAGCTGAGGGAGTTTGCTAACTTCGATTTTGATATCTGGCGTAAAAAATACATGAGGTGGATGAATCATAAGAAGTCACGGGTGATGGATTTCTTCAGGAGAATTGATAAGGACCAAGATGGGAAGATCACACGGCAGGAGTTCATCGATGGAATTCTTTCCTCAAGTAGGTCCCAAGACAGATGACCGTAGCTAGAAGAATTTGTACAGAAAAGAAGCACAGCTTCAGACCGTGGGGCTAATAGCCTCGCGTTGCTAGTGCAGTGATGCTTCTTAACTTGACCAGGAACTCAGCAGCTTGGAAAAGCATGTGATACTTTTAGCTCTTGAGTGAGCACACTGCTGTTCTGTGCAGCCACGGGAACATTCCTTCTCTCTCCTCAAGCTGTGTTAATAGTTAAATAAATTGTAATATTTGCTTCTAAAAATTTTCTGTGAGTTAGCTGGCATATAAAAGCAAATCAGTGAGTACTGATTTCATGATAATTGTAGTTAATAATTCTGGCCTGATAGTCACATTAACAGGGCATGAGTGCCCTGGGTCAGATTGTTTGGCGACTCCACAAAAGTGGTCAGTGCTGCTGACTAACCCCTGAAGAGGGCTTCCCTCCCCTCATCCTACTTCTTGAAGATAAATTTGGGTCATACACTGTTGATTTATTATGCTGAAAATGAGGAGGTTTGTTTTTTTTAACTGTTCAATCACCCAGACCAGCCCCATTAAGATTAAAATATGCAGTCAAATATGTCTTAGTTGTAGCAAACGACCTTACCAGATTTGCCTGGTATGTTTCAGAGTTCCCTACCAGCCGCCTGGAGATGAGCGCCGTGGCCGACATCTTTGACAGAGACGGTGATGGGTACATTGACTACTATGAATTTGTGGCCGCTCTGCATCCGAACAAAGACGCATACAAGCCCATCACAGATGCGGATAAAATCGAGGATGAGGTGCGTGTCTGTGTACAGCGGTGCTGGTGTGTCTGCGTGACTCACAACCAGCTTCTTTGTTCCCAGGCTCCCCCTGTGAAGCACCAAGATTAAAATGAATATTTCACCTTTGTCTTGAACAGGTCACGAGGCAAGTCGCAAAGTGTAAATGTGCAAAGCGATTCCAAGTTGAGCAAATCGGTGACAACAAATACAGGGTGAGTGTTTTAGAGGGCCCGGGTCTCTGGAGAGCACAAGTTGAAGTGTGTATCAGTTGGATCTACGTTGTTCTCTAGGAACCCTAATTATTTTCACATCGTCGCAAGATGTAGTAGTGTAGGAAACTCCGCAGCTTTTCTCATTCTTAAGCTGGCTGAATTTCCAGATTACATAATGTGTATGTTGTCTAGACAGCTTGCGTTTGAATGGCCGGCCATCTGTGACATGCACAAGATGTTTAAACTCCTTTCACATCTGTGTGTGTGTGTGTGTGTGTGTGTGTGTGTGTGTGTGTGTGTGTATACATGGATGTGTGTACATGTGTGTGCATGTACATACGTACATGCCGCAATATACATAGAGGTCAGAGGGCATCTTGTGGGCATCAGCGCTCTCCTAAATGAACTGTAGGGCCTGAACTCGGGTCCTCAGGCTCGATGGCTGCCCCCTTACTGTCTGAGCCATGTCACACACAGCTCACTTTTAAGGAGAAAATTACTAAAAGTAAAATACTTAAGTCATATGTCCAAGCTGTTCCACATTACTTTATTTTATTATGAATAGAGTTAAGCTTCTAAGTAATAGCTATTCACAACCATGAAATTAAAATCTTGTTTCTTTTTTCTAGAATTAAAAAATACTCATTTTGTAAATATGAAAAAGATGCAGTTTTTTTCCATTTATATAGTAATTTTTGCTTTTATTCAAAACCTAAACGAACTTGGTTCACATTAAAATAGTGTGATTTGATCATTCTGTTCTCTTTTTTCCTTTTTTAAATTTGATCATTCTGTCTCTTTTTTCCTTTTTTAAATATCTTTTAGCCAGCAGAAAAGGAGAGCATGTGTAAAGTGTCCTTAGTATGGCACGTCATAGTGTAACGCATTTTCATTTTTAAAGGATGTTCATCTACCATTTTAACTTCAATTTGAAAACTTTAACTGTTTACACTTTTTTTTTCAGTTTGAAATCAGGATTTTTTTTTCAATAAATTTGTAAAAAAAAAAAAATGAAATAAAATTTTTTGGCTTGAAATCAGAACAAATGGATTCTTGCACATCCCTAAGTTAAATACTGTATCCTGGAGCACAGGGTGTGAGTTGTGAGTGTGTGTGTGTGTATGGGAGAGGGAGACAGAGACAGAGAGAGACAGTGAGAGTGTATGAGTGTGTGTGAGAGAGAGAGACTGGGAAAGAGTATATATATATAAGTGTGCTGTGTGTGAGTGTATATGTGTGTGTGTGCGTTTGATCCATATAGAAAGGTTCCTGTTGAACTAATTTTGTCTTTCTTCCATTTTTCATTTTTTTTTATCAGTTCTTCCTGGGAAATCAGGTATAAACCAGTAGAATCTCAAGTTCCCAATGACTTTTTTTAATCTTGAATTCATAGTCATTAAAGCTTGCCCTGGCCAGTCCTTCCATGCTGTCTTGCTAGCTCCTACAGTGTTGGTTGGTGTGCCGTCTCTGTCAGCGCTCTCAGAGTCCTGGATCCAGGACTCCTTGATTGCTTTGTGCCTCCAGCGAGGAGATTACTTTTAAGCGAACCAGATAATGAATTGTAGCTGATTGGCTGGCTCCAAGGATCAAAACTCAGTGTTCAAGTCCCATTTTTCACTGTTAACAAATGTTAATGCCAGTGGTCACTGGAACACACACTTGATTGTCCACACGTCACTGTGTCAGACTGTTGAGGACATATGACAGACTGTAGTGTCAAGCAGTGGCTGTGGGAAGACAAAACACCAAGAGGTCTTGATCGGGCTCGGGAGCGGCAGGCGTGTCCCCTGTCGCTGCCTTGTTCTGAGTCACTGGTGCCCAGGGCATGCCGAGTCGTGTTCTGTGCTGTCTTCGCCAAACGTTTGCATTGACGTTTAAGTCAGCGTGGACTGCTTGGTGGCGCTGCATGATCAGGATGTTAAAATGCGCATACGAGAAATTATATTTTAACGGGCACATATTCCAGATGCTTTGCCTGCCCTGTTCTGTAGGGAGCAGACCGCATTAGGTAGTGGCTGCTGCTCAATCGTAGGCCACACTACAGCTTTTCCTCCCCTCTCTCTACTCCTCCCAGTTCCTCTCCACCTCCTCTCCCATCTGGATCCACTCCCTTTCTGTCTCTCCTTAGAAAAGAACAGGCTTCTAAGAGATAACAACAAACTAAAACATGGTAAGATAGAACGGTCACGCCAGAGTCGGACAAGGCAAACCAACAAAAGGGAAGGAGCCCCGAGAGAAGGCACAAGAATCAGAGACCCCCTTGTTCACGCACTCAGGGGCCCCGTAAAAGTACTAAACTGAAAACCGTAATACATACACAGAGGACCACATGTAGACACAAATCGGCCTCTGGGTGCCGTTCCAGTCTCCAGTCACACTACATCTTAAGGGCAAATTATGTAAGTTTAGAGTAAAATTTTTCCATTACTCTCAATAGAGTTTTCCCAGGAAAATTTTTAATTGACATATCATAGTCATGTATACTTATGGGTTACAGGGTGATAATTTAACACTCATGTACAATGTGTAAGATAAAATCAGGGTAAAACATCTGTTATAACAGATCAAATGTTACTTTTTCATGCTTGATATTTTCTGAGTAAGCAAGTAGGGTAACATTTCATTTTCATACAAAATAAGAGAAATACTTACCTTCAAAGATTTTATTGCTGAAAGTACAAAGAACAACATTAGTCTGTTTTTCTTGTCTCATGGTTTGGCCTTGGGAAAATTAGAGGAATTCTAAAGACACCATTAGTTGTCTGGAGAAGACCTTTTAAAAGTAAAATCAGAAGTTACCATATTTAAGAACCAAAATATCATTTTATGAAGTGTTTTTAGTTGTGTCCTTAAGTCTAATTTTGAATCTGGTCTTGAACAAGATTTATCTGATCCAATTATCTGGTTCCTTAAGGGTAATTTTCTTCATGCCCTCTTTTCCCTTTGCTTACTAGCAGCACAATTTTTTGTCTCTAACAATATAAATACAGGTCTTAATTTTTAAATTCACATTTCAGGAGCAGTTCATCCATAGGGATATTTAGGTCTCAAGTGTCTGACAATCAGACTTAGGAAGGGAGAGGTACGATGTTCAGTGCTTGACCCTGCTGGAGCACCTCTGTGGCCTTCTGAGCTTAGGTTGCTGGCCGGACTCTGGCTGGCCTTTTGTCAGGGTTCCCGCCCTAAAGTCCAGCATTAAAGACTACAGAAAAGTCGCGGAGTGTTTCTGCTCACCGTAGGACACAAAGGGGAATAGTCACAGGCGGTTCTGCCAAGAAGCTGTTGGCATCTAGCGGACTGTTTGTTCCTTCGTTTTCTTCTTTGTCACTTGCCAAGTTGATAAGCATGAAACTCAGTATGGTGCTTTTCCCAGTTGGGCACGAGCCTCTTAGAAATGATTTCCAGGTATAAACATCATTTCTCACAGACTTTGAAAACAAGTAAAGTTATGATCAAAACTACCTGTGCCCTAGTGATTGTGCAAGGCTTGCAGCACCCGTGGTACAAACAGCTTTGAGAAAAAACCCTTTGAGATTTGAAGTCCGTGTCACTGATAATTTGTCAGCGTCTGTTTTAAGATTGCAGTAGCACAAAGTGGCGTGTTAATCCAGCCTCCAGCCAGCTGGTTTGCCAGACCGTTAGGGATGCGGAGTTTTAGTGTGGAGTTCATACTAGTCATAAGCATCCATTACTTTTTTTCCCCAAGTGAGAACTCTCCTAAAAATAACAAAGGAGTTTAAGAGTTTCTCACAGACGCAAAGGAAGGTAGTTCTAACCTGAGGGGCGGTGCTCCCGAGTCAGCGTGGTGAAGTCCTTAGGAAGGCTTTGTTTTGTGTGAGTCCCGGGCAAGTGGACCTGCGCTTATTTTTCATGGCTGTGCTTCGCTCCTAGAGACATCCTTAGTTTCTGCTTTGTGAGTGTTGCTTCTGTTACAAGAAAGGAAAATAATTTGTACCTTTAGTACAAAGCCTCAACATTACACTTGATTAACCTTTGTGATGTTTTTTTTTTTTTCAAACTGCTTCCCCCGGGCTAAATCAGCATGCAGCAGTCTAATGTAGACCATTACAAACCCCTTTCGATATTTCACTAATTAATCGCTGTGAACTAAGCAAGCAATTATTCTGGCTGCTTACGCTGCTCCAAGCTGCATGCCCTCCCCTCGCTTAGAATCGGCCCTGACAATTAGAGGTTCTTTCTCTCTTCACTGCCTAGTTTGGAGACTCCCAGCAACTTCGACTGGTCCGGATCCTGCGAAGCACGGTGATGGTTCGAGTTGGAGGTGGATGGATGGCTCTGGATGAGTTCTTAGTGAAAAATGATCCGTGCAGGGGTAAGGAGACCCTTCGGTCAGGTGTGAGCACGGTGAGAGCCCGGGAGTACCGGGTGTGTTCCCACACTGAGAGCGAGCTGGCCAGCTTGAACCCCATAGCTGATGTGAAACATGCCCTCCCCTCCCCCTCTCTCTCTTATTTTCCCACTAATGAAATAAATTTGAGACAGGTAGGTAAAAAACACAGTCTGGATTTTCTGTGTGTAAGTCCTTCCTGTCTACAGTTTTCAAAATGGACATTTCCACTCCCCAAGGCCAAATACTGGAGAATAAAAGTTTGAAAGTCAAATTTCTATGAAATGAGGGGAGAGCAATACTTAAAAACAAAAGCAAACACTCCTCAAAGTTGAATAGCAGAATATTGAAGATATAAATATGATATTGTAGCTTTCTTCAGATCTGCCAACCCAAGAGTTTTAAGTTAGCTTCCAATATACCTGTTTTATCTTTTTAAGATTATAGTGTTGTTTTTAATTATGTATGTGGTGTGTGTATGGGTGTGCCAGAGTTCTCAGAGACAGGAGGCATCAGATCCTCCAGACTTGGGGTTACAGGTGGTTGGTTGTGAGCCACCCATGGGCACTAAGACCAAACTCAAGCCCTGCCCACTAGCAGTACCTGCTGGTAACTGCCGAGCCGTCTCCCCAACCCTGAGTCCCGCTTGTATGTCCTACGGTCATTAGGTTGTTAACTGGCCATGTGCCTGTTGATTACAGTTTGCATTTAGGCGCCATCTACTCAGTAAGTGTACGTTATTTTCAGAGTTTAAAAAGAAAACAAAAGGACTGTGATGACTCGTTTTAATCTGTGGGCTTATTAGAGTCCGGCCTGTTAGGCTGCCAAGTGGGAAGCCAGGCAGGAAACCTCCCTCTCAGCGCTGGCATCTGGAGTCAGCTGGGTCAGAGTCAGCAGGCCTGTCTACCCAGTCCAGCCACAGAGTAGTGCCGACCTCTGTAAGCTGAAGATACAGCTTAAAGTGAAGCACAGCAAGGCACGAGCACTCCCGCTCCATCTCTCGCTCTCCATCCACCGTGCTCACTTAGCCCTGGGGATGTGTTCTGAGAAATGTGATGTCAGCTGTTTTCCTTATGGTACAGACATGAAGTGTGCTTAACACAAACCTAAATGGTTTCCTGTCCTACACAGCAGGGGTATGTAGGGCGCGTGCATGGCATCACCTGCTGCTCCAGAAGCCCTGCTGAATAAAGCAATGCGAGATCGAATTGAGCACAGAATAAAAATAGGCAGCAGGGAAATGCAGTCACCATAAGATGCACAAGGCTGTGGCCTGACAAGGCTGCTCTACAGAAAGCTACTTACAAATACAAAAAAAAAAAAAAAAAAAAAAAAGTGCTCTAATAATAACTATCATCAAGTAAACATGTAAACAAGTAGCACAGCTATTGTTACTGTGCTACAGTTTCGTGTGACTGGTGTCGAGATAGGCTTGTTCCCCATAATCACATCAGTAGTCTCGTTGCCCTTGAGATGGGGACAGCGTCAGCCAGGCGATAGGACTGCCTCAGCTCCATCAAAGGCCGCTGTTGACCAAACATGACTTTGTGGCGCGCTTGGCTGCGCTGTGACAACGGCACAGCCTGAGGTGAGCGCAGCAGTGGTTAGGAAAGGGCACTGAAAATGCAGACTGTTCCACGGGGTCCCGGAGGACCAGCTAGCGCGGCTGGCCGAGCTTTGCAGTCGCTTCTTCTCCTGGCTGTGTGGGGCCTTGCAGGGTTTCTTCCGCTGGTGCAACTCCTCCCCTGAGTGCGTGCTGAAGGCTGGGCCCGAGCAGCCCTTGCGCACCCGCCTCCTGGACTTTGCCTCCCTGCTAACAGTGCTCTCTAATGTGACTGGTATCCTGTGTCATCTTTTCCAGTTCATCATCATGGGAGTAAAATGTTACGTTCGGAATCAAACTCTTCAATTACTACTACTCAGCCTACTATAGGTTGGCAACCCCTCTCTTTGGCTCTCCCCCCTCGCTTTCCTCTTCCCCACTTTCACATTCTCGCTTTCATGATTTGTTTTAATATAACACGCTTCATTCACGTGTATGGCTTAACTCACACCTGGCGAGCTGGGGCTTCTAACCTTAAGTTCTGAAAACTCGACACACTGGTGGTCCATCGAGTGCGGCCGTTACGCGAGTGACGGGGCACACGAGACACGTTGCCCTTGTGGAGTGGCCTCCATGTGCATATGTGTTTGTATGAGTGCCACCTCGCTGACTGCCTCGTGGGTTCCTGGGTCTGGTGTTTGTTACCGCATGTCGGTAAAACAGGCTTTGTCGTTTGGTTGGTTTGGTTTGGTTTTCTGGTTTTTTGGTTTGTTTTTGTTTTTTGTTTTAAGGCCTAAAATTAAAATACTAGCTGCCTCACCTCAGTGACAATTCTGGAAGTTTTTATGTTACCGTCATGACTAACAAGCCACCTCCGATTTTGTGTAATCGTTTAACCCCAGTGTTAAATACTGGCCTTCTCCGGACCTCAGCAGTACATGTAAAAGGTGCAGCCCAGCCTTCCTGACCTGTATGCTCAGTGTAAGGGGGACAGAAGGAGGGGCCTCGGCAGCTCCTGGATTAACAGTGGCATGAGCTTCCCATCTCCATGCTGACTTGTTTCATACTGCTCCCCTGGCTGGTGCCCAGTGTTAGAGTGAGCATCCCCCTCTCCCATCTCCACGCTCCCCTGTATCCGAGAGGAATGCATTGTGCAGGAATGCATTTAACTTCTTGTTATGCTGAGTTGGAGTTGGCATGGCAAAAAGATGTTCTCGAAATTCCCAGCGTGCTCTCTGGTGCCAGGCGGCCCTCCCCTCCTCCGCAAAGACTGAGTGCTTTCTCTCCCTTCTCTGTCCTTGCTGCGCGTGCGCGATCCAGCCAAAGGAAGGACCAACATGGAGCTGCGCGAGAAGTTCATCTTAGCCGACGGCGCCAGCCAGGGGATGGCTGCCTTCCGGCCGCGGGGCCGCCGGTCGCGGCCTTCCTCGCGAGGAGCGTCCCCCAACAGATCCACCTCTGCGTCCAGTCATGCTGGCCAGGCAGCCTCCCAACAGGTGCCCGCTGCGGCCAGCACACCCAAGGTAGGACCCCAGGCTGGGACCTCCCCTCGTTGTCCAAAGCACAGCCATTTGTATCTCCTCCCACCACATTTTTAAATATGCTTTGCCCGGTGACCCATGAAGTCGCCCTCTGTCCAGGGTTACCTGTCTCGGGGCTTTGTCACCTTTCAGACTGAGTTTTCTGTGTAAAGCTTGTATTCTTTTTATTTATTTATTTATTTATTTATTTATTTATTTATTTATTTGTATGTCTGATTTGTCCTCGGCTCCATCCACCTTTATCTTCATTATTGCCTGTGTCATGTGACTCTGCTATGAATCTCCTTTCTGTGGGTTCGGTGTTTTGTTGTGTTTTTGTTTTTGTCTGCTGTCCTTTACATTTGATTTGCCGTTGTTCCATGCAGATCCTCCATCCTTTAACACGCAATTATGGTAAACCATGGTTGACAAACAGCAAACTGTCAACTCCTTGTAAAGCAGCAGAGTGCTCAGACTTTCCCGTGTCATCTGCAGAGGTATCGTAAGGCCCAGACACCATTCTTAACAGCCTGCCTTAACTGACACTGTCACCTACTAACAGCCTTGCCCCTGCCTTCGTGTGTGCACTGCCTGTCAGGGGACGTGAGAGTAAAGTAAAGGGCTGTCGGGAAAGACGGTGGCCACTTAGAACGGCCACACCGTCGGTCTGCGTACGCCCCTCGGCTTTTGTTCTCACTCATACTTAATTCTGCGTGTATATCCAGGCCTAGGAAAGTTTTCTTTTAATGTTGGTGGAGTGCTCTTGGCAGTAGACATAACTTGAACAAGATACTTAGATGAGGAACGGCCACTTGCAAGGGAATTACTTAGAGTAAAAGAATTTTAGCAGTGTACACCCTGGATGGTCCCTCGGAATGTCTGTGGCATTCATTCCTTCTCATGCACACTGGCCGGCTGTGACATAGTTCTCGGTTCTAGGTGCAGGCCTCAGAGGGACGGGCACAGGGAGGTAGAGAGCTGTCATTTTCAGAAGATGTCTGTATTATGCTGTACCTAATCTCAGTTAAACACATGGGTCACTTCTCAAAATGGCATGTATAGAGAGAAGATATTTGGGGAATATGACATTTGCCAAGATTAACTCATGTAATAGATCAACTCAACTAAAAATCAGCCATTTAGATGTGTGGTGGTGGCGGCTCACGCCTTTAATCCCAGCACTCAGGAGACAGAGGCAGGTAAATCTCTGAGTTCAAGGCCAGCCTGGTCCACAGAGTGAGTCCCAGGTCAGTCAGGGCTATTAAACAGAGAAACCCTGTCTAAAAACAAAATAATCCCCACCCCCCAAATCAACCATCTGTTCTTTTAAAGAAACCTCTGTGAGTTGATCAGTGTAGACACCATTTCACATCCTGCATTAAAACTACAACAATGGGGAAGGAGTCTGTAAACATCTTTAATTGGAAATGAGGAGCTATATTTGGCTTAATAGTTAGGAGTAAAGCCAAGGCCCCTGAATAAAAGAAATATAGCAGTTTTTAAAAACCCTTAATGGTTTTCATGACGCTTTCTGTTAAGTAACGCTCATATTAATAAGAATAGGTGGACGCCTTCTCTTTTCAGTATCAGTCCTGATTAGCCAAGTCGGGGAATTGAGACAAACATGGACTCCCTTTAAATACTTTTTCCTTCTTCTTCATTCCCCTGGGTGCCACACTAGCATCACAGATTACATCCAGAAAAGTCTGTAAGTTGTTATGAATCTATTCTGTAAAAACTGAAAAGCCCTTAAAGGACCTCAAGTCATAGATCAATGTTTGTTTTAATATTTGGGGCTAAATTTCTATGTCCAGTTTTTTAGTTTTGGTTTGGTTTGGTTTGGTTTTTTTAAGTAGCAACTGCCCCAATTAAAGTAGGGGCTGGGAAATGGCTCAGTTGGTAAAGTACCTGCTGTACAAACATGAGACCTGAGTTCACATCCCCAGAACCCACCTGAAAGCAAGGTACTTGGGGCGGAAAATGTTGGAAAGAGACAAGCTAGCAAATCAGTGAGAAACTGTCACAGAAGTAAAGTGGGAAGCAATAAAGGAAGATGTCAAACAGTATGAAGTATGAAAACGAGGATCAGAGTTACAGGCCAGCCTCGGCTGCACAGTGTATTTAAGGCCAACCTGGGCTACATGTCTATCAAAGAAATATCACTTAGGTATGTGTACAGAATGCATAGGTAAGCAGAGGGTTGGAATCAGATACTAACACCAATAAATGCAATGTCAAATGATAACACCAATACCAAAAGTTCTATGTATGCGTTATTAAGAATCATAAACTCTAATGGGAAGCTCATTCTAAAAATACAATCATTATTTTCGTAGATTTGTTTTCTCCATGGCTTCTTGGCTATGTGCTCATTGACAAAGAAATCTCTTATGCTCAAGCGTTTTTAACTTCCGTAGAATTTCTAAAATGTCACAGTCCAGAAAGATGGGTGTAGACTTAACATACTGTCTTAAACTTGCTCCATACATTTTCCTCAAGTGCCTCTTATGAGTTTTCAAGAAGTATCCCAGAAGTATTGCCTATAAGTTTTACATGGTTGAGCCAGTACCACAAAAAGTAAACAGCCAAAATAAAAAATAAAAAAGAAGATGAAGAAATAGAAAGTAACAGAGAGCCAGGAAGTGAACACATTCAAGAAGTGAGCACATGCAGCATGAAGTTAGAAGGTCACACCTCCCTTTCAAGCCTCCCTCCCCCACCTCCACCTCACCCCAACCCCTCCCCGCTGTCTTATCAAAGGCTGTTTTTTCATTCAGAATCTCTGTTTAACATCGGCCTGGCTTTCCTAGGACGACTGAAGGCGGTGGACTGTCCAGGCACAGTCTGCAGCGCCCTGTTCCCTTCTCTGCACAGTCACCAGCCCAGGGACAGCTCTCTAACACTGTAACACTGATGTCTGAGAGATACTAACACCCACTGCGGTTTGATGCAGGTTTTTCTCACCAGGGCTTGTGTATTCTGCGGGGATTCTGGTTTTCGTGGTTTCCCTTCCCAGGCAGGGAGCCATTTTCTTTGGAAGGTTTCCCTTACCTGAGTAAGGACAAAAACCGGAGGAGGAGAGCGAGGGGGAGCCATGCACATCCTTTAACTGAAGCGTGTCCACCTCCTTCAGAGGGCTTGTCTAGACGGCCCAGCCATGAGGAAAGGGTGTCAGTGGAGTTTCAGGAAACTCAGGCACGTTCCTAAGTGATCTCTTCCCTGGTCACACAGGGAACGCCAATCCAGGGAAGCAAGCTGCGACTTCCTGGCTATCTGTCAGGGAAAGGCTTCCACTCTGGGGAGGACAGTGCCTTGATAACCACCGCAGCTGCCAGGGTCCGAACACAGTTTGCTGGTGAGTGTGCGACGTTTCTTCCCTCTCTTCCTAACTGCACTGTGTGGCAGTGTGGTGTGCTTTTGAAATGAAGTGACGTGACGCCCCGATTCCCCAACAGACAGGAGGTGAACGAGTCTGAGGAACAGGTGACTAAGCAATGGCTTCTGGAGAGGGCCAAAGAGTGGCGGGGCCTAAACATAACCGTGGGATCTGTCCCCTTGCTCCGGGAGCCGCCTTTACCCTTCAGAGAGCACAAGGGGCTGGGCCAGGTCACCAGGGAAAACCCAGTTACTGGGCAGGGGTCTCCTCTGTGTCAGCGTGGAATGGATACTTTTTAAGTTCTTACCTAGGGTAAGCCTGAGCTTTCCCTTGGTGTGTCAGCCTGGGTATTTCTATTTCACGTCCCTTACAACGAGGCTGCCTCCCCTTGTGCGGTTTTCTGTGTGAGCTGAGTGTGGGAAGAGCATGCTGATATTACACGAGATCCTCGGGTTCTCTGGAATCCTTTGCAGATGAGCAAATGATAAAGGTGACTCCTCTCTGCCCTTCCTCTCCAGATGCCAGGAAGACGCCCAGCCGCCCCGGAAGCAGAGCCGGAAGCAAAGCAGGCAGCAGGGCCAGCAGCCGCCGAGGCAGTGATGCCTCAGACTTTGACATTTCAGAAATTCAGTCCGTGTGCTCGGACGTGGAGACCGTCCCACAGACACACAGACCTGGGCCCCGAGCAGGTTCTCGGCCATCCACAGCCAAGCCTTCCAAGATCCCCACGCCCCAGAGGAAGTCACCTGCCAGCAAATTAGACAAGTCTTCAAAGAGATAGTGCAATTGGCTCCGGCAAGCCCCTCCCCTGAGCGTTTATTATTTAAGTGAATGATGTAAAATACGATGTAGAAATTACTGTGAAATATCGCAGGAGGCGAGTTTTAAATTCTGCAGATGGTCTTATTTGTCTATTTGTCTTTTTATTTGATCTGTATCACTTTTTTGGTCAGATTTTCTGGGGTAAAAGTCACATCATATGTGATAAGGAAGAAAGACTTTTAACATGAACCACTGTCTCTGCACGGCCATGTGCAGACCATACACTAAAGTCAGTTACTGTACCTCCAGGTAAGTCTCCGCTCTCCGACAACCACAGCGCCACATAGCTGACATTAAGGGATACCTCATGACACCTTTTATGAAAGTTCCGAACAGCTTACAGACATAGCAGGGAAATCTTTATTATTATTTTTTTTTGAGATGCTTTAACTATAAATTAGAAGGAAGACAAAAGGAGAAACACACCAACACACAGTTCTTCAAGCAGTAACCAACAGAAACTCACAGGAGAATGCTCCCAGCATCCTTGGGTACCACGGTGTGCCAGCACCTGCCAGCATCCCTGTGCCGTTGCTTTAGTCGCAGCCAGACGCGCCCTGGGCATCAGCCATCTATACTGTAAGAATGTGATGCAAAGTGCATTCGTGCAGACGTGAGGTTTGCTTTGCTTGGGTGGACGGCAGCCCCTGTATCGTTTTGTAACAGCAACTTCGCTTGCAGAAAGCTATGAAATAAAACATGTCCCTTAACTACATTGCTATGGAATTAATTTTTTCCCCAGGGAAAACCGGTGTATTTTTTTTATGAACAGTATCAATTTGGAGTGACCAAAGGGTACTTTAAAAGTGGGTTTATTTTGATTTCTCATCTGGAATAATCATGTTCTGGTATTATATCTACTTATATTTAATAAATATGCATTTTAATTTATTATGTATACTCACATACTAGAGAAAGATATTAGTATGCATTTAATAAAACGTGTTGACTTGAATGTATGGAATACTTGATTATTTAAAGTGAGCTTTTCTGTCTGTTCTAAGTAAAGCGTAAACTAATAGTGTGACAGGAGAGGCTCGGGAGACGCGAAAGGAGGTTAGAGCCAGTGGAACCACCTGTTCTGTAAGCATCTTAATAAGTCCTAGCTGCGTGCCCTCTACTGTTGATGACCCCTAGGCTGCCACAGTCCCACCATCACACCATGAAGGGGGACTTCACTATGAACCATTAAAAAGCATGGGCAGAAGTGGGACAGGTGACAAGATGGCTGATTTCATTAATTAATATTGTGGTACTCTTCTACAGTGGGTTTTTTTTTTTTTTTTTTAATCACACAGTTTTCCTAGATAAGAAAATAGCACCAGCTGTAATGAGAGCAGCAGGAGGCTCCTTTGGACCCGAGAGGTCACAGCGTTCTCTGGAGCTGAGCATGCAGTTCAGAGGATGGTGTTCAGGCACACGGGGAAAGGATGTTTTTCCCTCTTGCCTGGAGCTGTGTCATTGGCGAGAATGGGTGCCTTGTCTGTGTAGGGGCTGCGCCCTCCTGTCGAGGCCTGAACAAGGTAGCCCTGACCGTGAGATGATGCCATAGCGTGCGCACTTGGTTATACGCATCATCTAAGAGGGGGGGGGACCTGAAGTGGCTGTCCCTTGAGTGCTTTGCTTGGCTTTTTACATCAAAGACTAAGTGGACGATTTTGTTTCCGTATGTCTGAATACTACCCCCGTTAAAGACGTATGGAGTCTCAGGGCTGGAGAGAGGGCTGGGAGGTTAAGAGCACTTGTTGCTCTCTCAGAGGACCTGGGTTCGGTTCCCTGCACCTGTGTGGCAGCTCAGAACCATCTGGATGTACCTCTCGTTTTAGGGAATCCAGTGCTGCCTTTGGGCCTCATGGACACAGACACATGCAGGCAAACGCTCATGATAACAAAAGCTAGAGTCTCCTTTAACTAGCAAAATAAGGTGGTGTTTGTTTGTTTGTTTGTTTTGAAGATGGGTGGTTTAAGGTAGTTCAGAGGCATCTTAAGAATCCAGCTTGTCATCGCTGCATTTGTGGAGACTTCAAACCATTGGGAGTTTCCTTTCGCCTTCTCAGCTTGCGATAATCCCAGAGCCAGAGTACTGAGGAGTCATTAGTATTACCAAGCACAGAATACCTACCCCCTGCGCACAGCCCTTCTCTCTCTTTTGTTCTCCTTTTTCTTTTTCCTTTCTTCCTCAAGAAATGGGTACAGAACACTGAGCTCAGTGCTATGGCACATTCATGTAGTCCCAGCTAAGTCCACAGGTTAGATCACTTGAGTTCGAGGTCAGGGTGAGCTTCTTAGGGAGGTCATGTCTTAAAGCCAATAACGAAAACAGGTCACTGGAATGATTTCAACCCTAAAAACTTAAATCTGGCATATCAGAGAATCCTGACGTAGATGAAGAATATATTCAGAGAATCCAAATCCTAGGTAGATGTCCTAAAATATACACATAAAATATATATACATATATATTTGTACACATATATCTCAAAGCTACTGATGATGTACTGCTCCCCGTTAAAACAGTGGCTGGAAATTGTTGGAACCCTGATAAATAGCAAATTTTAAAATTTGGGTTAAAAACTTGGCAAGTTCCCCTGAGTGTCCAGGACTGACCTGTAAGCAATAGAAGGAAGGGACGGGTCAGTCGTCCTGTTTCCATGATTTCAAAACTTGTTCTTTATGTTCGCAAGTGAAATACAGTGCCACACAGCTGTCTCCTCCTGACCCGTGCTTGGAAGTGTTCTTGTCGGGGGAGTGACCTGGTCCCAGCAAGCAGTACTGTCACGTGCTCTTGGAACTGCCAATCTGATGCCTTGCCACCTGGGGTCCCACGGAAGCAGCAGGCACTTTAGTTTTATTTTTCAGTGCCTTAGAAAATAAGTTCCTGTCAGTCGAGTTAAAGGTTGTTTGACCATTGCTACAACCTGCTTAGAAGTAAATAGTCACATTTAAACTCTGTGTGTGTGTGTGTGTGTGTGTGTGTGTGTGTGTGTGTGTGTGTGT